GGTCTTTAGTGGTAGACCCTGGTCCCTAGTGAGTGTGGTGAAGAAAACTAAGTGGCGTAAGGTTCGAAGGAAGAAAGGAGCAGAGATTCAAGATAGAGACCGGTAAAAAGAGAGGCGCAAGTATATTATGGAAACGCTTACGGTGTAAGGATGAACTTGTCCTGGAGACGTGGCACGAAGTACCTGGAATGGGGATCGGACGAAAGTCGGTACTGGGAGATCCATGGGTAGGTGGAGTCGGAGACCCTCATGGCGTCCAGCATGTCGGCGGAATCCGAACCTTCCTCACCTCCTGGGAACCAGTATACTACACAAAGAGGTTGGGAAAGGTGCCGGAAGAAGGGGTCGATCAGGATGTTGATTTCGCACCGACCGTCGCTCTTGAAAAGTAAGTTGACGACCCCTCGCCACGTCCAAATCGCACGACCCCGTCGTTTCTTCTGGGCGTTGTAGTAAGACGAGAGGAAGGAGCTGGATCGCGCTTGATCATTAAAGATCCATAAGCAGTGGGTAGCCTCCCAGATTGCTTGGCTGTCGTCTTCGTCAAAGCGCAGGTAGGTCGCCTCAAGTTCCGCGAACCAGCCCACTGGTTGGAAGGATACGGGGGGGGTCGATACTCGAGCTGACACCCATGGTCAGGCGACCAAGAGGTTCTGGAGCATATATGAGCGGACCAACGACAACTTCCACTAGGAACGTCGATCAAACTTCCCGTCTGGTGGATCAAACCAGCCCTAAGGCAACTCCAGGCGGTCGACCAAGTTGCTAGGGGTCATCGTCACGACACTCAACGAGCTGACCATGTCACCCGACCAAGGCGCCACCTCCGCTGCAGTAAATGACTTCACCTGCATGTACACAGGGATGAAGTCGCCCTTTGTAAGTTTAGGTGACTCCCCTGGAGAGGAGCCCGCCTTGGTGACTGGGGCAGGAGCCTTCTCTCACGGGACCGACTCGACCTTGGAGTCCGAAGATCCAAACATGGCGCGTAATAACTCCGGACGTGGGTGAGCGACCGGTCGGGAGACAGATTCCGCCGATACATCTGGGAGCTGCGGGTCGGTAGGCGTGGTAAGACGCCGGGAAGACCGCGACCGAGCCAAGGTCGTCCGGACCACCTCGCTGTCGTCACTTGCGGTGTCATCATCCAGGTCCGGAGAGGGTACCAAAGGTAGACCCTGGGGGTCCCCGACTTGGGCTTCGACGAAGCGGTAGTGCTGGGGGTACTTAACTTGGCGGTCTGGGGAACCTTAGCGATCGTCTTGGCCGGTGAACGCCAAGGTCGCTTACCCGTCACCGTGGTGGGAGGTACTGCGGAAGCAGTCACGGGAGGAGCTACGAGATCCTTGAATGGATTCGTGCTGCAATCCTCGTGCTCCAACTCCGCCATCATGAGAGCGTAGCGGATCTAGCGGTAGTCCATACGCCACCGCAAATGCTCCGTCAGCGATATCTCTTGCTGTAGTCCTCCTCGCAACTGAACCAAGAAGTGGTTGGTGTCTTGCAGCTCTCTTTCGAGAAGCTCACACCGGGTGTTCCAGTAGGCGTCGGGGGCGGGGACGGGGGGGGGGGGTCGACCTTTGCACGCCTCAAGTCTGCAGCTATACGCGTCTAGACGGTCTTGTAGGTCGCGCATCATCTGAGGTATGTCTACGAGACCACCCATCGCAGCCGGAGGAGCACTAGACGGAGCAACGCGCGAGACATAAGTGACCGTCCCCACGGGGTTCACCACAACAGAGGAGCTAGAGGTCGACTGAGGGTCATCCACGTCTGGGACTCTCATCACCTACGGCTTCAAAGGAATTGTTGTGGACCTTCTTAGCCCGGGCATCTGGAGAGAAGTGTCGATTGGGGAGGAAACCTGGGCCTCTGGGTCAGCGGCAAGTGCAAGAGTGCCCAAGACCGCCCCCCTCGGCCGTTGAGTCTACCACTGTGAAAAGAACAGCTGAGGTGCATCAAGTCAGACAACGTATATCGAAAGGCCAAACAAACAAGGAGTGCTTACGGGATGAAGAAGTCGAAGACATGCGCAAGTTCAAGCGGCTGCACCGTTGATCAAGTGCAGAGAGCGGCTGTGGTGAAGCGTTTCAAGAATTGGTAGGTCAGAGGACCGGTGGGTCAAAGAGAAGGGGACCCGCCAAGGAGGAGCGACCGTTAGGTAAGGGACAGAGAGACGGGGCGCTAAAAAGGGACGGGGAACGACCGTTGTATGAGGACAATGTACGGTTTGAGCGTGCTAGTTAGCCGCCATTCAGAGGAGATAACTGCGGTTAGGCCGATCGACCGCAGTTCCTCGTGGTGGAACCCGGTCTTCCAAAGTAGACCCTGGTCTAACCAGCACTTATAATCAAATTCTTCAGGGGAGATTCTCAACCCTGGCCTTTTTCTTCCTTTTCCTTGATATCTCAAGGGTATTTACCGCCTGGCCTTTACTTGCTCCCAAACCTCTAGGGTAGGGAGACCGATTCCGATAGCGAGTCGATTGGTGGGGGTGCTACTTAGACGAACCGACAGGCCAAATATATCCTGGGGCTCTATTCGCACTTGGGTCTTACCACACAACTGTCTTCGACGGGGAGGCAAAACGTATCCCTTCCTGTAGGCTTAATAAGTACCTTGGAAGCACGAAGGAGGCGTGCTATGTAAATTGCAAATTGAGTAGTATTTAATATAGTCCTATCTTTTAACTTCTTTACTCTATCTTTACCCCCGTGACCTAATTCTTGATTCTGCTTGCTGAGGGGTCGAGGGACCGAGGTCCATTGATGCAGGACCAAGATCGATCTTTGGGGACAGGGGCCTAGGTTCCACCGACGGAAGGTCCAAGGTCTACCTTTATAAAAAACCGAGGTCTACCAATGATAGACCAGGGTCTACTTTGGAAGACCGGGTTCCACCACGAGGAACCGCGGTCGATCGGCCTAACCGCGGTTATCTCCTCTGAATGGCGGCTAACTAGCACGCTCAAACCGTACATTGTCCTCATACAACGGTCGTTCCCCGCCTCTTTTTAGCGCCCCGTCTCTCTGTCCCTTACCTAACGGTCGCTCCTCCTTGGCGGGTCCCCTTCTCTTTGACCCACCGGTCCTCTGACCTACCAATTCTTGAAACGCTTCACCACAGCAGTAATGGTGGTGGCGGAAGTATTTTTTCCGAGGACAACGAGGGTTAAGCACCTAGTGACGAGGTACTGGCCCAAGAGGGTCGGGTGAAGTCAAATGACGGCTATTTTTGAGGGCAACAAGGTGCAAGCACCTAGTGACGAGTAATTGATTCAAGAGGGTGTGGTGCAGTCAGTAAAAGAAGTGGTCTTTGACCTTGAGGCGTGTACACCGGGACGTTAATGCGTCGGATTCTGAGATTATCATGAGGAGCGATGATTAAATCGTGAGTGACGGTGATAGCAACACAGATTTTGGACGTCAGTGCTGGGCACTCGACTGGAAATGTCCACGGCGGATCATCCGCAGACCGATGGTCATACAGAACGTGTCAATCGCGTTATTGGTGATATGTTTTGGAGTGTTTGTGCTGAAACACCCAAGCACTAAACCACGATGCTCCCACTCATTGAGTTTGTGTTGAATAACGGTGCATGCCTCGACAGGCTTCACCACATTCTATGTGAATGACTTGGTTAAACCTCGCGTTCCGTGGACGCTACCCCCTGCCACATCAGGGCTTAGTGAGGGAGAGATAGCCGAAGGCTTGGCTGATATCAGCTCTGTTGCGAGTTGCAAGAACGTGGAAGCGTTTCTTTCAACGCGTTTTGACGTATTACGTCGCGTCAAAGACGCTATGGCTGAAAGTCAGGATGTTCAAAAGGAACAAGTAGTTGCCAAAGGCAGGAAGAATGAACACAAGTTCAAAGTGGTAGATTTGATTTTACTAGGAATTTACCTACTCGCGCAGTGTCTGCGGTATATTAAACCAAATTACGTCCACGCTTTGTCGGACCTTTTAAGGTCATAAGCAAGAAAGGCTTAGCCTATACGCTGAACCTTCCGAAGAAGATGCGATCACACCCTGTGTTCTACGTGGGCTTGCTAAAGCCATATCTCAACCCAGCCTCGGTGGACTATGAGGGGTTGTCCCCATGCCGGCCAAAGGAGGCGGGTAGTGCGGCACCGAAGGTGCATATGGACGCTGAAGGTGTACCATCCCCGCCGACGCTGACTGATAAACTGGGTCATCATCTGTTCCACGTGGAGCGTCTCTTGGCTCGCGTCGTCACCTGGGTCATGCCCACTATATGGTGAAGTGGAGGGGTTACCCCCAGTCGTACGACTCGTGAGAGTATGAGGTAACCCTCCGGCAAGATTGCCCTGACGCCGTTGACGCTTTTGACCAGGCCGGTCAGAAGCGACGACAGCTGTCGTCGGACGCTCCTAGCACCCGTACATCTCTTCGATGTCCATTCTTGCGAGAAGAGCGCAAACCCAGGTGCGGGATTGACTACAACTGCTATTAGGTATAGCCGAGCTACTGTAGCAAAGCTACTTATGCACTAGGTGCAGAAGACAAGCTCACGTTTTAGGAATCTTAACCCTCCTAAGGCTAGCTGTACAAGCTTATGCCTTTTGGTTGCAACCAACCACGTCTCCAAGAGACTAGTATCGAAGATACAGTTCCTTATAAAGGAATAGAACCCCTCTAGCAACTAATGCTATTCAGAGCAGGTTTAAATCTGATATTTATTTATTTAATTCAGCACTAAATATTGAAGCACCTACTCTATACTTAGTGCTAGTCACTATTTACTGGCTCTGTAGCCTATTAACATGTATAGTCACTATACTTAACTTATAGTGACCATGTGGCTCTCTACTCTTCGTAGCTTAATAGTCTCGGTATAATAAATCAATTTGGAGAATAGATGCGACCCAAAATAAGAGGGTTATTTAATTTTACAACATTTGACTGTAAAACGGAGTAAGCTTGTGTTATTGTGTGGAAGTGCATTTGTACTGGTAAACAAGGGCAATGCAGTACTTAAACTACTTCTGAAGCGAGGTGATAGAAACGAACCTTTGCGTATCGCAGACAAACCGACCCTTAACACGCTGGCGCTTGGCAGCACTCGCACGTCGCGTATCAGAGATTAATGGATCAGGCTGCTTCGTCCGAAAAGACAGCGTCTTCCGCTTGGACTTACGGCGATGGTCACGCATCGCATGGAAAGAAACTGAAAAGCCAGACGCCACGACACCGGGAGGACCAGCAAGCAGATCACTGTTTACTACGGCTCGAGGACGACATTGCTCATCACCATCCATTCGCACCGTTGTCGGTGGCACGAAGACTCGCGGGTCTACCTTGGCAGGAACTAGCATAACATCCTTCGACTGCGTCGCTGCCTGCATCTGTCCCATCTCTTCCAGGTCCGAAAACAACAAAGACATGTTGTCTACTTCCAGCGCATCGATCCAGTCACACGTTGTCGATTGATCAGCTTTTTCTTCTTGATTAGCGACAAAGTTATCCTCCAAAGCAGTAAAAAAATCCGCCACCATTTCTACATTCGTCGCGTCTTCGTAGTCAGCGAGCAAAAACGCAAAAGAATTCGCTACTGGCTTAACCCATTCTTTGTCCTCTAGCGTCTCCAAAAAAGCCTTCGATACCATGGCTACATTCTCCGCGTCCGCGGCTTCCTGTTCTCGATCAGCTGCAACACCATCGAATAAGCCCAAGACCTCTAATGGAGTGTATACGTCCATGTCTCTTTCAATCTCCAGTTGCTTTATGCCGCCAGCAGGACACGCAATTGCCACTTGGTCTCCAATACGAATTACTTCCGCGTTCATAGCATCCTCATCTTCGACAAACACGTTATTGTCTACACCGGTCGCTTCGTTCTGCTCCATGCACGAAAACAACTCACTACATTCGTCCACTTCAAGCGTGCCTTTCACTTGCTCCACATCTTTTATCTTTTTCTTCGTTTTTGCATTATTCTGTGTTCCAAAATCCCTCTTCTCCCCATCTTTCTTGTCCAAAACATTATCCCGACAAGCAGATACCACCTCCAAAGTGCTCTCTGGTAACACCAACAGATCATCATCCCAATTTAAGAGTGAGTCTCCCAAGAGCGCGTCAGAATGAAAATTGTCTGCGCCTAAGCGCTGAGCAGAAGCCAGTAGGTCGCATGACCTGTCGAAACCATTCTGGTCTGGACTCTGGTACAAGTTGTAAAGAAGGTGTTCATCTTGAGAACGCTCACGAACAGAAGAAAGTAGAGCAAGTGAAGGATGCAGAGTCTAGCTCGGTCAACAGGCGACGCGAGCGAGTGAAGAAGCAGCGAGGGGCGGTCAAAGAATGAACAAAGACAGCTACACGCTCAGTGGCTTTTTCTTTCTCAACTAGCTTTACCTCAAAGGGAAATAATTTGAAACTGCTGGAGAGTGATGCTCTTCTCCGAGGACCTGCTAGAATTAGTATCCTGCATAAACATTAGAGCATCAAAACACTGATTTATAGCAAAAATAGTCTGATTTATGCACTGTTTGAACGGATACAATTACGATTGATTGTTTCTTTAGTAAGGAGTGATGGTCTTGCACTTGCTTGGTCTCGCAACTGCAATGTCAAAGTTTCCGCTATTTCAGAGCAGCAACCTTGCGGTGTCTAATGCAGAGTCCGCCCTTGCGAGCGGCTTGAAAACATTCTGGTGCAGCACAGCGCTTGCCTCCGCCATGACTGTAGCAAAATCCACCTGCCTGTGCACTCTTTTTGCATGCCATGGAGGAGCAACGCTTGCCTCCTCCATGCGAGATGCAGAAGCCACCACCGTGCGCGCATTTAGAGCAGCCGTCAATTTTACATTGCTGTCGACCACCATGCGTCATACAAAAGCCTTTTCGTCGAGCGACACTTCCGCATCCAGAAACTTTACACTTGCTACCACCACCGTGGGCTTTGCAGCGCCCACCACTCTGAGCGACCGTCTGGCAGCTGTCAAAATTGCACCGCTTGCCACCGCCGTGACGGATGCAAAACCCCCCAGTTAACGCGTATTTGTGGCAATCGGCGATTCCACATTGGCGGCGGCGGTGGACGTTCTTGCTGCGTTGTATTGATGTAGTGGAGGACATATCGGCGGACAGCAAATCGTGTAAGGATAGCGGACGTCGAGTCTTTGGACTGAGGGTCGGAGAAGAAGTTGATTTGACATTGCTAAGGCAGAATGAGTTGGCAGGTGTCATGCTGGGACTGGTTGGAGAGCCAACCATAGGTTTGGTTGGGCTATGAATGGGCGACTGGTGTCCGGTGCAAGGAGTTCCGAGGTTGATATGATTTACGGCGCATTGTAGCGGCGGCAGGAAGGAGGAAACAGTCTGCGTTGTGTTGTTGGCAAACAGTGAGTGGATGCTAGGCAGTCTTCCTGAGTTAGTTGTTTGTCGTCCGGGAATTGCCGGGGTATTTGTCGCCAAGTGAGTCAGAATGGTGGCAGTGACCTGTAGGCTGTGGAAGCGGTGGTGATGGTGGTGTGCACGGACGCCCATGTTGGCCGAGTGAAAAAAAATTGGATGTAAGCGAAGTGGCGTATCAAGTATTGCCGGGAAAGCAAATGGAAAAATGAGACTGCCGTCGGACCGAGATTGGGCGCCGATGTGTCGGGGTCTGTAGACAGGCAATCGGCGAGCATCCTTCCGTGGCTGTGGGGAAGGAGGAGCAGGATCTTGCTCAAACGAAAATCTCCGTCGCTCCTCGCGCAATCTTACCTTACAAACTAGCAAAGCTGCACCGTATTTCCAAATGGGGCCAGTGTAATTTAAGGCAGCTTGACTTTGACAAACACTACGCTTGACCTTCGAGTATTGTGGACACCATATAGTCGGTTTAGCTTTTGGCGACTCAAATGAATGGCGTTACTAGCAAGTTTCCAACCAAGAAGCCACTGGCGTGGCGGTTTATAGCGCGGAATCTATGGCGTGTCGATGGCTCAGCAAAAGGAAGCGGGCTTTTTAAGGCAGTACAAAAAATGGGCTGGTAGTGATTACTGGCCTTGAGACAGCCAGTTGGACGGTAATATTTTTAACCACGCCGGGATGGCTGGTGATCATTTTGCGCCTTAGAGATTTACCTGTGGGATTCGATTTTGAGCTGAACGACGATGTCAACATATAACCCTGCCAATAAAGCTTTTAAACTTAATAAACGCCTGTCCAAATGACCCGACAGTGGCCCGCAGAATATATTGGGAACACTGTTCACCATGCAAGACTTGGCCTTGTTGTCGTCACAATGTGGCCACTGTCTCGTCTAAGACGACCAGTCATCACGTGGACTGTCGACAAAAGATCTTGCAAAAAGATGTGAGTCCACCGAAACAACGGTTGGACTTCAGGTCGAACGGAGCAACAAGATCCTAAAGTTCGTAAATAAACTGCTTGCGGTCAGGACTTTGTTCAGTTTGTCGACATGTTGCAACGGCATCCATGTTAGATAGTTGATTGATTATATCCGACGTGTGCATCCCCCTGTATCATAGCCATGGGTCTTTTTACTTTTGTTACTCAAGTTGTGTAGCTTTTCTTGAGTCACATCGTCGCTGCAGACGACGCATTACAAAGCTGAAACGTTGACTGGATATAGAGCAACCTGAGTTGGCTTTGAAGCTGCTACTGGACTATCAAAAAACAAATGCTGAGTTGTTTTAACTCAGTTGAAACCTGAAAAGTCGCCGTGTGATGCGTTGTTGTCACCCTCGGTTGCCAATACCATCGTCGTGAAACATTAAATAAAGAGAGACTAGCCGTTTCAGACAGCGCGTACATGTCAATGTGCATTGAACCCGACCGCTTCCCGCTGAACAAAATTCTGTCTTTGAAGTAACCGTTGACCTTTTTACCTCCAATCATTTGTGCAAAGACCGCAAGTTGAAGTTGAACATGCGTGGCTGTACCTTTAGAAGATAATATATGTTATGCCTGATCAATGAATTACCAATGCTAACAATACGGAGCTTAACTATGCAGTTAGCTTCGAATAGAACCACATGACCACAGATACGATAGTGATCAGTCAAAAGTGCTAACAACATAGCAGTGTCGCTGCGTCGCGCTGGGACCACGTAGGTTACCTGTCCAATCGATGTAGAGTCAGAAAGATAAGGCTGGACTGGGTTCGTTTTAGCGCTAATCGCACTCATTTTCTTGCACAATGGGATGTAGATAGTGGCATCAAACCGAATGCTAAACATTCAGCATCAATCATATGAGAGAGTCGACAAGCTCTGTATACTAAAATGAACGCCGTGTGACTGACTTGAATTTACTTCAGCGACGGTACTTTTATCATAGAACAGAACGATGTATTAGTGCCATTCGAATTTAGTCACGTACCATGGTAGTGCGGCTTCAACTTCAGGGCCACAATGGGTTCAATGTCTACTGAACTTAGTCTCAGAAGGCGTAGAAAATCGTTATCATTGTTGGACTGTATTCCTCTTACTATGGCTATGTTCCATGCTCGCTTTACCTCTGGTGCTGTTTCAGTTCAGATGTAGATTGATGACAAGACCTTTATCCTTGAAATCAAGATACGCTGCGCTTACAAGCTTCAGCTTAGAATAACTCAAAGGTCCAGCAGTTTAAAGCTGTCGGGCGTATGTCGTTTTTGTTGGCACAGCGCATCACATGTAATGAAGCAGTCGAATACTCGCTTAATCACGTTTCTGTTTAGGTAATGTAACGTCTACAGACATTCGATCTTATCGTCTTTTAATGCATTCTCGCCACGCAGGTATGAGATGATGGACATGTACCCGAAGCTATTGCTCGTTTTGCTCTCGATCTTAGCCCTGGTTTAGTGTAAGCACCGAAAAGAGATAAAAACTGCTCTGGAACATGAAGTCATCAATCTAAATTGAGAATGTCATCATTGATGCTGCTTGTGGTTGCTGTAGTTTAGACCTGATATCTTGTGTGCAGTAGTTCAGCGTGATTGCTTAGCAACCGAAACAATAACGCTGAGCTGCTTCACACAACAAAGTCAACGACGGCTGTGCTTTACCGAATAGGAGGCGCTATGTTCACGATCTTTAACGAGCACAGGGTCAGTGGGGGCAGCGGTGTTGGCATTGACGTTCAGCATATGCAGGAGGTGATGTTGCAGCAAGAAGATGATACTGAGCGTCCTTTGTTCTAGGTGATCATAAATGAGATGCTGGCCCATAGCCATCAAAATGTGCATTTTTCAGTACGTTATAGCGCTGTGAGCGTTCGCAACTATGAATGGCGCAAACCATCGTAGATTGGTCAAAAAATAATAAAAATGTATGACTGGCATGATGTTCAATGTTTTTTATACGTGGGCTTGTTTTTTCTGTGATATTGTTCAATGAATCTTAATATTCGATCGATTATTTTAGATGGGGTATTTTCATGTATGCTAGCTAAAATATCGTATATTTTTTTCATATCCAAGCCTTTTCTCATTTCTTAGAGACATTTCAATGTTAGAAATACTGATTTGTGTCATATTCCAACAGCGCAGTGTTTTATATTATCCCTTTTTGCTTCAACACCCTCACTAAACCGAAAAATAATAAACCCTCAAAACAATGACTTTTCTTACGCTAATTTCGTTATAATGGCATTGCAATCATGGCACCCTCGCCTTCACTTGGCCGTGAGAGCGTCCCGTGTGACAGATCACCCATAGAACGAGATAAACTCACAACTATTTCTAATAAAACATTGCCACCAAACTCCGCTACAAACAACGTTGATATTGACAACGATCTACGACGCCAAGTGGGTCGATTGGTGGTTGACACGCAACAGACCATCGACTCAAACTTGTCGCTTTTTCGCATGGGTTTTTTGGTGACATTAGCGGCTTCAATTGCAGTTTCTGTACGACTAAGTGGTCTACTAAATCGCGTCAACAATGTGGACGAAATTCCGTCGTGGCAGTTCATGCGACGAAAGAAGCTGCGAGTGCGGATGATCCGGCAATCGCGACAGGATCCAAGCGTCTTTTACGTGTATCATACGCCATTTTTGAGACGCACAGTGCTACAAGATAAGTTACCTGATTGTTTAACTGTTAGCATTGGCGATCAAAAATCCAGTGACTTGATTGCCGTTAGACCTTTTGGTGTGCAAGTTGACGAGAGCTCCGAGGAGTGGGTCTGGTCCAACTTTGTGTCTTCGCATCGCTCCTTAACGATTCAACTCTTACGACGGTAGGTTGATTACTTGGTAAGAGATTGGTGGACTGTTGGTTATGTATAACAGAGGATTTTGTTGTATATGATACAGGATTAAAGTCATAGACAGTGAGAGTGTCGCGTTGTGTAATATTGCACTGAAGAGAGTGTGTTTTGACGGTAGTACTTTGGTTCTGTTCAATGTATTTGCAACTCATCTTTTGTTTGTTGCCACTCTAGCCACCGATGCGAAAAGATTTTGCTCAAGAGCTGGTATCCTACGGCTACGCCGAGTGCATTCCAGAGAATCTCAAGAACTATGAAAATGGATCGTAAGTGGCATACGCTGACAGTTCCCACAACTTTGTATTTAACATTTGCTGTCGTTAGAAACACGGCAATATCAAGTCTCTTGCAGCGTCTCAAAAACCTTGAGGCGGCTCAGAAGCATGCTCAGACTATGCAGTACGGCATCTGGAAGAATTGGCAAGAAAATAAACTCTCTGACCGCGTATTCTCCGCAAGCAAACGAGCTACAGCCAAAGGATTAAAGAAACTTATTAATAGTATTTACCGTTAAGAAAATAGAAACGAACGGAATTGCCGCAGTCTCAGCGTTGTTCGGCTCTGCTTTCGGTGCTAATTCAACCATAGCAGCGGATCGCGGTGTCGCATCCTTTATCAGCGCATTGTCCTCCCTTCTGCAAATACTTCTGATGATAATCTTCTGCGTCCCAGAAATGCTTGGCTTCTTTAATCTCGGTAACAATAGGATTGCTTAGCGTCTTCTGATGCTCCTCTTTGGAAGCCAACGCAGCCTTCCGCTGATCCTCACTGTGGTAGTAAATACCCGAACGGTACTGCGTGCCCGAGTCGTTCTTTTGGCGGTTGAGCGTCGTAGGGTCATGCATGGACCAGAATTTCTTTAGCAAACCGTCGTACGACACTTGATTATTGTCAAACACAACCTTAATAGCTTCTGCATGGTTGGTACGGCCTGAACAAACTTGGCGATACGTAGGGTTATCCACTGTTCCTTGCGTATAGCCCACGGTTGTCTCAAGAACACCCGGGACACGGTCAAATGCCAGTTGAACACCCCAGAAGCACCCGGCGGCAAAGGTGGCAACGTTTTGTTGCTGGTTGTTGTCCATTGAAAAAGCTCGAGATGGGCGTAGGAAACGTGAATGACGGGAGATACTACAAAAGTGAGGAGCTAGACAGCGAATCGTGAACATACTTTACAAATAATCAGCCTAATCAATAATAACAAGTGCCAACGGTAAATGTCACATAGCAACGAATTACCTCATAAAAGAATTGTTTTATGATTGGAAACCACAGTTTTACACTGTATTTAGCTATTTATTGTATGTAACGAAAGATAAACAAGCGTTTTAATCGTAAAACCCATTATGATTTAAACAACAACAAAAAAGCAGCTCCTTTGTTTTAGAAGAAAACGCTTTCAAAAAAGCACTTGCTTTCAGGGTTGTTCTACATACAATCACCAATGAGATTTTTCCTATTTTCCCGCCCTTTTTTCGTAAAATCAAGACAACTTTTGGAAAGCAAGATGCTCGACCTGGTCCCAGAAATATCTTCTCAGTTTGCAAATCGTTGCAGGTCTTGGTTGATGAGGTGGTCGATCAGTCAGCGTAAAATGCGTCCCTTTGTTTACGTGCTGCTCCTTGCCGTCATGGATAAATGTATCAATCAGTCTATGATGTTTCTGTTGTTACTCCTATCCGTTCCTAGTAAATGACAAAAGATTTTGTCAGTTACTAGGAACGGATGGAAGTAGACCACAACGGCAGGAAGGTTGGTCGCAAATACGGCGTCAGTCGCTGCTGCGAAGGCCACAACGACGACAATAAAAATTGCACGATTGCTGTCGCAGTCTCTTGAGCACAAGCACCAAAATGGTGTCACGACAGCGAAATTTTTGAGAAAGCTTTAGCGCACGGGAGCACGACCCAGTTGAAACTTCGCATAGCGATTCCATGTCGTCGTCTCCGTTGCCCAAATCCACAAACAACTACTAGGCGCTCTAGTGAACGTTGAGGGACGCAGTCTCAGACAAAAGTCTTACAAAAGTATGACAGTTTGTAGTTTGCATCGGCATCTGGTCGGTGTCAAGGATTTTTTGGTTTCAATGCCGTCAAAGTCGTGGCTTGGTAACTCTGAAGAATCAATATGATTAGGTAGAGATATGTTGTTTCCGCGGCTCTCATTGTTTTTGGCAGCCTGGGGCTTGTGCATTTGCACTCGATGGAACAGACAAGTTATTGGTCCAATTAGCAAAAAACACGCACAAGAGATCAAAAGGTACCACAACAAGTTTGAATAAAAGTTTTAGTTCGTATTGTGGAAGTGCGTGGTAACCACCTTATTTTCTGAATCCGTTACGAAAGCCACGATCATAGATCTAAAGTCTTTGGAACTACGTGCTTGAAAACATTTTGAAAAAGTTACGATCAGTGTACTTCACCCTCCAAATGCTTTCATTTGCCATTTAAACTAACAGACATATGATAGCAGCGTCTTCATGACAAGAATTGCCGAGGTGGAACGCTGCGGTCTGGAATATTACCTCAAATACGATGAAAACGAATGCTGACCATTAACGACTCACGCGTAACTTCTTACCTCTTTCGTCGCAGACATTCTTGCGCGACCTGTGTTGTAAACAATTTTTCACCGAAGTCAGATCCATTTTGTCGTCAAACAAAGCGGAACAGTCACTAGTGCTATGACCGAGAGCCTCTCATGTATCCAAGTGATAATAACTGCAGGTGTGCAGGTGCTAGTGAAGCAGACATATTTATGAACATACCGAGTCAATTACTTTGTGTATCATTTTGTGAAGCCTCTACTGAATTCCGCATTTGTTTGTGTGTACGGAAGTCATGTTGTGATTGTGTCTACTAGCAGATACTTTGTGGTTTACAAGTTGTATCAGACAAATGGCAGACTGTAGGACAAGCTACTTGGGTTAATATGTGTCATACGCATGCATTGCATGAACATTTCAGGTTTATGAACGCTTGACTAGCGCCGCCGAATGGTCCATCATTAACGAATCCTAGACGACACTCACCATTTCAAATTTAACCAACTCTAATGTCAAGCACCAGCATGAGGCAAGAGGCAGAAACGCGGCGCAGCTGCTGCAATATCCACTCCAATCCATCAACAATTTGCCGAGTTTCAGGCCACAAGCTAAGCCTACACTGCAACGTTCAGTAACTCTTACCCTGGTCAGGCACGAAACGTGGACGTGTGTCATAATGGCAAACTCACCACCGCTATCATATTTCTTGCTTCCGATTAAACATGCGGCGTGGATCCGGCAGCGCGTAAACGTTTAAAATACATCACCTCTTCCTTTCACGACCTCTACTGACGTAGCTTAGGTATTAGAAGATGTTTTAACGCAAAGTGCGTTCACAGTATCATCTCACACCCATAACCGATGTAGCTAGTAATCTGCACACAACATAACTACGTATTTCAAGATCTTCTACTATTATTCGCATGCATTACTGAATTCAAACAAAAGGCAGCCAAAGTGATCATGGCGTCCTAAGTGCAAGCGGTTCGTTCATGCGAATCCGCAACAGACGAGTTGATTCAAAATTCATTTGCTTTGCAATCAAGAGTGAGACAACAGGGCATGACGACTGCCGTCACGAATGCACAACGCTAGGGTGTGTCCAGGCTGCGACTGAAAACATTCTTTACGCCGTCTATAGGTACTTGGTGTCTACAAAATATCGAGACCGGGTACTACTGAATACGTTCCACGAAATCTACGAGTGCTATCAAAATCAAGGATTGCTTGTAGCGAGCGTACCAGCAAAATTGCGAGCAGTATGTCATGTAGACTATGGTATACACACGGAGCACAAAGAGTCACTTGTAAAAGATAATAAATAAGCTAAAGTGAAAACTTTCTAGGCGGGTTGTTACGACAAAGTATTTAAATATTCCTTGCAAACAAGAAGCCTTACATTGTGAAGTCTTCCTTCAAGACCGTGATGACGTCCTCCAACAAAAACATGACGATCAAAGCGCATGCAAATTGAAGTGTTACATTTTGCGCGGTGTTACAACACATGGGGCAAATGCAAGTGTTGCTGGTGAATGCTAAATCGCACAGTAATTAGTTGTGCCGAGTATAGCGATGGCAAGGGAAGGTGAGAACCGAATGACACTTCTGACTGCAAGCTAAAGCGTCAATGTACTTCAATTACAAGTAATACGATTTCTAACACTCTTTGCACATCGTTCACAACAATCATCGATCGTCAAACGAAGCTCCGAGATGGTTTTCATCGGCCAATCTCATCAGACAATGCCCGCGTCATCATTGCCATCGATCCTGAGCGCAAGCTGTCCTCCGTTGGCCAGTAGCCGCCAGCAGCGCTGGGGCGAAAGCATCTGTTGGCCATTGACTGCAGAATGACAGGTACCAAGAACAGAAATTCCGAGGAGCCACATGGCAAGGCGAAAGTCAAAGAGAGCTTGTGCAGGTGGAATCACCATGAACGGAAGAGTTACAGGGTTCTGGTTTGCTGGTGCATATTGGCAAGTTTTGATTACCTAGCTTAGGTATGAAAGTAAGATAACAAACAACACATAAAGAAGTCACTTAGGATGATAAGAAGTGAGCTTTATGGACTGACATGGAACGACGCTGTCTTTTTCCTATTCGCTCTATTTGCTAATCAATTGTCATACCAAACGCAAGTAGCGGTGTACACAATTACTAACCGGGTCGAGTGACGCCAAGGTCAAGACCGGTACAAATGCGGCCACTTCATGTCAACGGGCCGCAAGACTTTCCAACCTGAACTGGCTAGATACTGATTTTGCCAACACGTAACCATAGACATCGTGAAGTTTAATCTCTTGAAGAGCTCCCAGATGATTCAAGCTTTCCGCTAATCGTATGGTCGACACGGCTGGCCAGTTGCATTCATATTGTATTGCTTCGTGGCGTGGTAAACACCGAGATCAATCTATTGAGTTAAATAAGAGGAAAGCACGCACACTGCCACCATGAGGTGTGGAGCGACATATTGCATAAGACCATGACTATATCAGAGCTCAACAGTTGATCATAACATGCATGCATGTTAGACTCTTCCAGCTATCATATGGCACTTTCAAATGCACTTACAAAGTTTGTGGTGGATTTTACTACATGTAACCACAGCCGGCAGCAACGTGACGCAACTTTATGGATTGAAAAGATCCACTGGAGAGCAGATGGACGTCGACTGAAAACGAGACGAGTCCAATCATTAGAATCCTATGCGCGACTTCGTAAAGGATTGACGAGATGTTACTATGCCCTGGCTGGTTTTGCACGACTAGGCATGATGAGCTACGGGAGTGCGTTTACCGCAATACTATTCATATGACACGTATAACATTACACACTATTGACGGCGTCCCGTGTCAACAGTTGTGACTAGCTTCAACTAATGGGTCAGTTAGTATATTTTATAGAGATTTTCACCGAGATGGTGTTGGAGAGATGAGCACGTGACCAAAGGCCTGCTCTATTAAGCACGCAAGGATGTTAGCAACCGCATACAAATGGCAGATTCAGGGGTGCTCAAGTCAAACAAAAACAAACAACGCCACACAACTAAGCTCATAGCGTCTTTTTAGTACGTATTTATAAAATCATTGACGCTTCGTTTAGCAGCATGCAAGCACACTGTTTCAATCAATCCTCTCGAAGAATTGAGGACGAAAGCTAATAATAGTTGAAAGAATCTACTGGATATTTGACCAAATGGCAGCAATTTGACAGTTGAAACTTTCTCAAAAGGTTTTTACTTACCGTTATGTAGTGGAGCAACTACACGTACTAACGTTTAACGCGTACATTGCCAGCGAGGGCTGCGGTCTGCACGCACATTGCGCCCTATCTTTGGCTTTTGTAAGCCCGCTCGGCGATTGAAGACAGCCAGCTGGTGTTATTATTGGTGACCCTACTTTTATCAAGAGTTGCGTGTGGTGCCGGTCTCTGCCAACACCAGGTGGTTTACCCTCGCTGCAATTGCGCGTGGCAATCATACGACCTCGTTCGTACACGTCAGTTTGCAATTCTCCCGCTGACCATTTGCGTGTGAGTGAAGAGCCAACAGCAGGAGACTTGCCCACCCACCTACCTACCTATCACAACTAACAGGTTTACAGCGACTGTTGTATGTACCTTTTTCATCTTTGCGCCTTGCAATTCGAGTTCAGTTTCATTTCCTCTCTCTTCGACTCATTTCCAAACTGATGACATCGAGTAACAACACTTCGACAGCAGCTTCGGCTTCATACAGCCAACTTCCTCGCAATGTGGGCAGCTTGAAGCGCAAGGTAGAGTACGCGACCTCAAGCAATGCACCCCCTGCGAAGCGCACGTACTACGGCAAGTGTCAATATAAGACTGGCAAGTGTTTTAACGAACGCACCCTTAAGCGCAATGGTGACGCTCACTCTCTGTGCGAAGAGCACCGCGTCAAGCAAAACTTGATTCAGCGCCGCAGCGATCGCAAGTATCAGACGGTACATGCCATTCGACGTCGCGAACGCTCGCAGCGCCGTGCTGTATTGAAAAAGCAGGTTTCGATGGCTGTGGCCCAACAGCTTTTCTATGAACATCAACAACAGAAGACGCTTGGTATTCCGCTCCCGCATCACCATCCTTTGCACGTTCTGGCGACGAATGGCAACAGTGGTGCTACCTCGACCTCGGATGTGTCTCGGATTGTAGGTCTTGCGCCTCCAATTCGGGTCCCGCAGCCGTCGTCGGCTTTATTGCGGAACGATCAGAGCGGTTCGAATTCGCCTTTGGTGTTGTCATTTCAGTCACAGAGTGACCGTACGGCAGTTATCAACCGTTCTATCAGCAAGGTAGTAACTCTGAATGGCACGAACGAGTCAACTCCGACTGGAATCGACAATTTCGCACCCGATTCATTTTTGAACATGTCCAAGCCATTGCGCACTAACAGCATGCCGGCGCTAAAGGACGATGAGATTGATGAAAGCAACATTGATAATTTTGGTTATACGCCAATTGTTTCATTCTTGGGTGATAAAGAGATGTGGAGTGACGACGACATTGAATTCCTGCAGACCATTTTGTTGGCCTAAAGGAGGGTCTACTTTATAGACTAACCAAGTTGTTGAACCGTCGCTACACATTTTATAAGAGCGCCGATGGTAGAATCATTTTGTTTTGAGCCGATTAAAATACAAACAACATTCATTATCTGAAAAAAAGCGTGTTTTGTGTTTATTTTGTGTATGTAGAAAAAGTGGGCAAAATATTTTGATGCATTTATTAGAATTTGGGATAGAATCCTTTTGAAGCTTTTGTGATATTATCCATATAATGACAATGCCACAAAGGCTTAAGTTACTGTAGATAGCTTGCAAATTTCTGGCAAAACAACGTCTAAATTATGGCAACGTTGAGCCGTAATGGTCTGAAGCTGTTTCTGAAAAAGCAATTGATTTTTCGTGATGAGAACAAAATCAGACCTATAGAAATTAACACAAGTCGACCGTTGGACTATCGTAGGTTCGAAAAACTCGTGACTGTAATTATAGTCGTCTGCCAGGTCACGTGAAAATTCCAGCCTCAGAATATCCATGAGGTCGAGGATATGGTCGCGAGTGATACATTTAGTCCGAAAAGCTTGCATTTTATGTAGATGTTGTAATGAACGGATGTGATATTGCAGTGCGACGCGTGCTGCGGAAAGAGGAACAAGTCGTGTATGCACCCACTTTTCGTGAGGAAACTCTGTTTCTATCGTGGCTGCATGCAAATTTCGTGATCCTACGCTCCATGTACGACAAGATGTATACTTACTGCTTTAATTAGATGCCACAACATAGAACCGATGAAAATGCACCCGAATCCACCGCACCTTTGACGATTGTATGTTGTGGCTGGTATCTGTTTGTAAGGACTTTGCCAATAGATGATCGTTAAGGTCACTATTGAATGCGTTGGTTGATACAACGTACGAATTCCACGATGCGCAGATCTCCGCAGTTGGGTCACTGTCCCTTCCAACCCAACTTAATTCGGTCAAAGTAGTATTAGACAATCGAAAAAGATGACTCGTTGGGTATGCAAGCTTGGCCTTCATGCTGTTATGAAGCAAGCGAATTGTCATTTCTTACAGCGATAATATAGTGTTTACTATATCGTTTCGAAGAGAAGGAAAGAGGTCGTGAGGTTTGTACTTAAATAGTCAAGTTACATCACACACTATACCAAAAGCTTTTAATGTTAGTAGGAACTGAAGGACGGGAAGAAAATAAACTGGAAAGCAATTTGGGTTGAATGCGAAGGCTTTTTATCAGCAGCCAAGCTTGAGACGCGAGAGAGTTACATGAAGGGAAGAGCAAAGAAAACGATCAATAAGTATACCGCATATCTTGTTTAGCTCAGTCTATTTCCTTGGACCATTCGTGATCCCTTCCTGGCACATTTTATGGACGTGCTTACCTAAGCGTAGATCAGTCCTATAAGAAGCCTGGAAGGTGTTGCTCTAGCGTCATGTCTTTCTTCGAAGTGTTGGTCGCGACAGAGACACCACATCACGTGACAGGCCTTGGGTCACGTCTAAAGTCAGTCAAGTTAGCGCGGTGAGCTATCGATGGGTGCATGGTATGTTGCACGGTGCTTCCATGACGACATTACAACGAAAATACAACCACAATTTTGAAGACATGGTCGCTGATGGTTCGCATCACAAAATGTGCTCGACAAACTCTGTTCCTTATCATTATGAGAAGAGCTGACTGAATAATAAGACCTGACAAGCTTCAGAAGCAGTAGCCGGTTGTGCCGTTTAAGACCATCAGATCGCACAGCGCTATAAAATTGCTGCCTGCCGTGGTTTCATACGCTTTTTAAGCTTCACAAATTCGGATGTCATCAGCTCCTGTGACCATACGCGTAGAGACTCAATCATTTTCTTTTTGAGAAACTCATCAGCGATTGATACATCATCTTTGGCTTGATTACCGTCGTCTATATCCGTACACGATGCACCAGCTAACATAGCGCTAGCATGTTTTGCGCTGTCACTACTGCCGCTGTTACATGTGGTATTATCGCTTAGGTCTTCAAAACCACCCATACCAGCGCCATCTTTCTCTAAGTACGTCGAGAGGTCCTTAAAAAAGCTAGCCATGTCCTTAACTCCATTTGGGAATATATTTCGCATGCGCTCAATGGCTTCCTTGTCCTTTTTCTTCTGTTCAGCTTCCCGTTCCTCACCCGACACATTGCTACGTGCAGTGTGCTCCTTGCGGTTGCGCAAACTGCGGACCCATCCATTCGACCCACGAAAGTCCTCAATACCTAACTCATCTGCATACTTCTTTCCAACGTCACGGATCAAAGTGTCTGTGATCGTCCCGTTCTTCTCTCGGTTAGTATCAAACCAATTTTCAACCAGTCTATTGAGTTTATCAAATTTAGACTTTTTGTTAATGTGCTTCGAGCAACCAGAGATGTTGTCCTTGTAGAAAGCCTTTTTAAACTCCTCCTTGCGCTTCAAAATTCGACTCACAGTGCTCTTATTAAGCCCAAATTGCTCCGCTAATCGAATGCCATTCACAATTTCCTTGCCATGTATTCCTGTCATACCTCCACCTTCCTGTTTGCTACGATTGGAACTCTTTGGGTCGTATTGGTATTGCTCTGCCACTTCAATGATACGGATTTTTGTCTGTAGGTCGATGCTGACATTAGTACCTTGTCTTCTTTTCTTACCTTTGCGTGGAGAAGAAACTAACCGACTTGTTACTGTACTCGTATCATTTGATACGTTCAGATTGATTGCATCGGTTAAACGTCGATATTCGTCATTAGATTTTTGCATCTCAGCATTAAAATCCCCAGCAGCGCTATGGAAGTATTGTTCACTAACCGTTACACCTTGTCGATCAAGTGCTATGTATCGTAAAATTGGTGCACGACTTTCAGACGTGGTCGTAATAGCTGAAGAGGGCGATGAGGCTAGAGGCAAAAGTGTGGGTGAAGCAGGTAACGTCAATGGCATCGAAAGAGCTTCATTCTGCTCGGTATTTTCGTGACTAAAGGTCTCAAATGTTGTTGATGTTTCTGCAATACTCTCTTTGTTCTGTGAATGACGTTCCGAGTGCTCAACGTCTCCCAGTGTTAGTGCAAGCATCTCATCATCATGTGAGGAGGTAGCCGACGCGTCCATTTTTGAGTGCACGTTGAGTGGCTTACCTCTATCATGGCGGTATTCCAATCGGTATTTGATGTAATTTCCATCACTTCAACTTTTATCAAAGAGTGTTTGTCAAGTCATTTGAACGAGATATCCACACCACCCTGTGACTAGTATACCGTGCTACTGCAGAAAAGATTGTATAATGCAACCTTTGTATCATATTAAGCCCGCTCATCAATTGTAGTAGCATGCATGGAATGTGTGACTACACTGCTAAGCAAGATGAGGTTACGGCTGAAGAATGTTCACCTTGTAGAAAAATATTGGAGCATCGTTTCGTTACAGTCTACTGGAGACAAAGAGATTTGACATTTGTCGTACCAAGGACATGGTCATGCTATAGTCTCGATAGACGATAGGTCGACAGGTTCGATGTGACAAAGTTGACCAACAATTTAGTCGTGCAAGCCCACGGTTTCAATGAATGTGGGAAAGTCGTGACATAAGGATGTCCGTTCTTGCCCAAAGTCACGCTGAGACTGGGCACGGTGTATACCAAGGCAACCCAATTGTTCAGATGACCGAAGAAACTGTATTGGGCTTTTTTTCTGCGCTTAGGAATGAAGTATAAGAATTGTCTGGGCAGGGCTTAAGGCAACCAAATCAACAACAGATGCAGATGACATCGGTATTACTTTACCGAACAATGTCAATCGGCACCGTCTATTTTTCTAGCCTAAAGGTACCATGATGCCGATGGATAGGTTGGGCAATCGTACGTGGTCAACTTGATTTAATCAACGTGCTGATTAGGATAGAGTGCTTTGGCAAAGACAAAATATATGTCGCTACTCGTACGCTCAAGACCATCATGGCGGTTATAAAGCTGTAAGTCAAGTTGCTGGATGCACACAAGACGGAATGACGCTGGATGGGACCAACCATTGCATTTGTTTTGCAAGGATATGGGCGGGTATTGATAGCAAATAAGCGAGTGTCCAAATCAAGCCAGCAACGGCATGACTAAATGGATGCTTCGAGCAGTCGTGAACTCGGTTTGGAGGAAGGTACTTGCTTGCGGGTTGCCATTGCCGTTCTGCGGTAATGCGGCGGCATGCGCCGCGTACATTCCAGGTAAAGCTCAAGCAATGCCGATACAGGTAGAAAGGCGCAATGCTCGCGGAGATCATACATAATTTATGTGACATCGTGTTCATCGGTTCCCCCTGCATGTTGCTTCGTGATGAACGAAACAAGTAGTTAGTCGAGCAAAAGAACCTGTTGAACTATGGGCTAACTCAAGAAAAGTGGATCATTTGAAGAAAATGATGTGCGAGTTATTGCCATACCCACCTGATAGCCATGTTCTGCATACGAATTGGTATGCAAGACCTACATGGATAATGATGGGTGGTATCGAGCGTTTTAGAGACCATTTGATGGCATGTGTAAACAGGCGAGTTTAAAAAGTATCAAGTGCAAACTCACTTACGGTGGTATGAAGTTGAGCATCGGTGATTTTGTTGGTGGTGGGTGGCAAGGAGCCTCAAGTCGAAGTATAAAGTAAAGATACCACAGCTGCTCGACACAATCATGATAACATGTAATCAATCACTCATACCGTATAGTTGTTCTACCATCTTGAAGTTTGCTTATCAAAAATGTCATGAACACCGATTCCCCAGGCAGTATGTCATACATCAAACACGTTGCACTTCTTCCTGAGTTGATACCACTTACTTGCACAAAATCAATGTCGACAAGTGCGTGATTGAGCATCACAAACCTTTAGTATCAAAAACGCCAGATCCCTTTTCATTTCGTAGATCTTCGAGCCGAATGCATTTGAAACTCTTTCCAGGGCATGTTCATCCCTGTTTATAGAGAAGGTTCAAATTAACTCGGCGAGCAAACGTCGTCTATCGAATATTATGTCATCTATGAAGCTCCAACACCTTTGGCAGTGGCAGAGAATGCACAACGCCTGTCTTTGCGTGTCAGCACATCATGCTGGAGGAATTTTCTTCAGCTCCGGAATTCCTGTTCGAGCTTCACATTACAGCGTGTAATATCATGACTATCGCCCGATACTACACACGTGTATCCGTATATACATGAGATAGTAGGTACACATCCAGCAGTATTTCTTCAAATTCTTTAGAAGTATCAAAAATTCTTAAATCACGTTATACTCCATGGAAACTGTATCATTGTAAACCATCCTTGTGTATCTGTCTCGTCCAATTTGTTGATAGAGCTAGAAAGTCATTGTCTGCCTATGTAGACCGACGTAAACAAATTGATATCGGACTTGAAGGTAGCAAGCAAGTTAATATCGAACTTGATGGACGCAATCAACGAGAAAAACCAGGACAGTAAACGTACGTTAGCCACCCTCCGTGACTTTAAAAGGTCTTGCCATTTCGTCCGAAGACGTCACCGTGCAATCGAGGTTTGATCTTCCTGATGACTTGAGCTTCAACCGGCAAGTTTACTAACACTGTCTGAAGTGGAGGTAAATGAAAGAATGACGGACTGCGGCTTGGGATACTACTATACGCTGACACTGCTGATCATGGATGTTGCAGTACTACGTCGTTAGAAGATGCACACGCCAACGTCAATTGCTCAATGCGGATCTATTTGTCTCGTTCTGAAGGACTATGGCTCTTTCATTGTAGAGCAATAACATTACTTGCTACTGCGTACTAGCTATAGAAATAAACGGCATAACCAGAACACAAACTAGCAACGCTAGCCGCTTCTTATCACCTTTATACTCACTCGGTCGTGCACATAAGCTCATATTGGTAAGTCTTCGACAAAGTCAATAGCTTTTCTTTAGCACTACATTCCTATCAGGGTATTCTGCGGATACTGTGTAAGGTAGTAGTAAGTAATAGACAAGGTGTTTAAACATACTTTACAGTGTACAATTAAGATGGTTTGCTAATCGACTAAAATATCATAGTAAAGGCGAAACCAGGTTGGTCAATCGCTATATGGGTCAGCTATTAAATTATGTAAATAATATAACCTCTTGTCCTATTTATTTACTCAAAGTCAAAATAGATGTTGCGTATAAACTATCGAATACTGCAAAAATAGCCACATACGGTACAGGACTGCCACGTCAACTTAGCATACGTTATTTTATAATAACCCAGTTAGAGGCAAAAGTCATAGCTCAAACATACTCTTGCAAGTACGTCATCCCTCCCATCCTCACTCCCATTTTCTACCGCGCTTGACTTCAGCGTAGATCTCGCCCCCGCCCCGCCTCAAAGTTAACAAGAGCCAAGTAGTATATAATGGATAAAGCGGTACTAACCCGTGCTACAAGTAAAGATGATACACCAACACCCGGTTACCTGTATGGAGAGATTGCTCGGATGACACAGCATAGCTATGAAACGTGTAACAAAGTACAAGATTTTTTGATCTCACGCGTTAAGAACAAGCATCATACCGTCAAATATAAGGCATTGCAGGTCATTAAGCACGTGTGTCGTGAAGGTCGCGTGGATTTTAAGCGCGAGATGCAGAAACATATTCCGACGGTGAAGGAGTGTTTGCGTATGTTATTTTTATGATATTTAGATATTTCGTTTGGATTATTTTGAATATTTCGTTTTATGATATTTAAGTATTTGTGATGTACATTTGAATCATTTAGAATTTCGAGGTGTACCGGACCCACTTAAGGGTGATGAGTATTATCGACGTGTGCGTGAGTCAGCTAAGGAATGTCTTGATGCTATTTATGATACGGACAATGCACCTGGACTCAGTGGTATGGGTATGTCAGCTCGTATTCAAGGCGTTGGGGCTAATCCTAGCGATAATAATAGCGGCAGCTCCGGCTGGAGCTCCAAGATCTGGGGTGGCAAGAACTCGAATGATAACGCGTTGCCACCCCCGCCGATGGCAGGTGTACCTATGGGTGGATACAATGGAAATGCACCACCACATCCGGGAGCTCCATACGGATACCCGACTGACTCGAATCAGGGCAGCTACGGCGGTCCGCAGTCGTATGGTCAGCAGCAGCCGTATCAACCTGAGTATCCACAGCAAGGATATGGAGGCCCTGGTGGCGCTACCAGCCTGCCGTTTGGAGGCGCACCACCCCTGAACCAATATGGAGGTGCTGCGCTACCTTCGTTCCATGACCAGAAGCTCTCTGGCATCGGAAACCCGATGTATCAGGATCCACGAGGTTGGAAGTACTATGGTTATTTGATAAAAAGTTGAGTGTATTGCGGATTAAAGCGGGTAAATTGTTGTGTTTGTATCTATCAGCTGACGAGAAGGGATTTTTCAAGGGACTAAAAGAGAAGGTGGCGTCAAAGTATTCGAAGTCAGACAAACCGACATTCGGCGGAGGCCCACCTGGTTCCTCTAATCCTCCCGATGGGTGGAGTTTTGCCTCGAATCGTGGGCCAACTAGCGGGCCATACGGCTCATCGCCTGCACCATATAACCCAGAGGAATCGTACCGCCCCGCTGGTTTTACTGGAGGAGGATATCGTCCTGGTTCGTATGGCCAGGACCCTCGCGAATCTGCTAGCTCGCAGCTTCGTGAAAAATCTTACGGTATGTTTGGTGCTATCAATTTGTGCGTGGCCATGCTTTAAGCTGATGCAACGTTTTATGAACATTTTGCTATCAGATGGCGACCGAAAGAAGGGTCGTGTTGGAGGCGCATGGACTGATGCTGACGTACCGTCGTCGTCTCTCAGCGGCAATACCGGAATGACGCAACATAGTGGCCACGATAGCCGACCGCAGAATTTTGGTGGCAATGCGCGTGACACCCGGTCGTATGCGCGGAACTCAGATTATGATTACGATGAGAGCAAACGCCGCGAATCTTCTCAGGGACCAAGATCTTTCCCACAGCCTTCTGTTTTGACAGGCCAGACTTCTGGTGCGCAATCAGATGGTTCTTATGAGCGAAACCTGGTTACGGCTTTGTGCGCCCCTGGAGGTATGCGTGCTATCCCTCCTAAGGATAAGATGGATGCGTTTTTGAAGAGTGCGACTACACTGGACGCCGAAATTGTTGGCCCAATATTGGAGGACTGCCTGTTAGACGATCAGTGGACGGTACGATGGTTTTGCGTTTATAGGTGGATGCTTGTGATGATCGTGTCTTTGACATGGTATATATATTGGTGGAATAGGTTGTGTCTAAGGCGCTTGCAACGATTGACGCGTTGCTGAAGACCGATGGCTGCGAGGAGTTTGAAGAATACTTTGCTGAAAATTCGAGCGAGATCGAGTCCTGTGCAAAATCAGAGAAAATCGCTATCCGGGACCGCGCCGTTAAGATCCTGCATAATCTTGGTATCTCTGCTGAATCAGGGGCTTTGACGTCTCGCCAAGATTCATCTAAGCCAAAGAGCAAGCCATCTAGTCAGAGGAAACAGCCTGTTGCTGCAGAGGCTGATCTGCTAGGAGGTTTCGATGACGATGCTCCTGCTGCGGTTGAGAACGAGTCGTTGTTTTCTGGATTGCAAACGAATGCTCCTCCTCAACAGTCAGCACAGGAGCCGGTGCAGCCCGTTTCGACAGCGAGTGATGTGACGGATATGTTTGGTGGCTTGCAGCTTCAGAGTAGTACTGCAAGCTCGACGCCCGCACCTGAACCATCTCATCCGACTGCACCTGCTCAGATCTCCGCCACTGCAGTCCCAGTTCCTTCACCATCGACAAACCAAAGTATGGTGCTTGACCCACTTCTTGAGCCTGTGCCTGCGGCGCCTACGATGAATCAAGGCTTTAGCGGCCCGATGAACATGAACATGATGAACTTCAACATGCCTCAGCAAATAACGCAAATGCAGCAGATGCAACAAATGCAGTACATGCAACAGATGCAGCAAATGCAGCAGATGCAGTTTTTGCAGATGCAACAAATGCAAGGCATGGGTGGCAATCCAGGTTCTCAGGTGATTGGAGCTGCAATGACTCCATTAGGCTACATTGCCAAGACAATCCAGGAACCGGCTGATGGTCTTGCGTCCGACTCGGGTTTTGGTTTTATGAAGAAGAAGGACGATTCTTTTAACTTTGTGGAGGATGCTATGAAGAACAGCTGAGCGACAATATTAGTATAGTATACCCTCGGTCGCTTTACTGACAGTAGACAAACCACGGGGATCCATGACGCATCTGCCGTGGAAAGAAGAAAAAGACGCCAAGTGTCACGCGTAGCTTGTTGAGATTGTTCGTGTGTCAAGTGCAAGAGACTGTCACCGTAGATGAACGAAAGCGAAGAAAGGAGCAAGAAAATACAAGTACCTGCGCTAATGATTGTGCGTGTTTGATGCTTATTAGTCTTTGGAAGCATTTCTTGACTCGACCAGACATTCATGGATCATCTCAGTTATCACGCTTTGGTCTTGCAAATTGGTGTTGGGTTATTGTCTCGTATTGTTGCTCGTGATATTGGTGTAGACCGTGTATGATGCCATGGATTGCTCGCAGTATCCAGATTGCCACACTAACATTTTTGTTCACACAGGAACGAGCCAATGCTGTAAATAACAACTCGACAAACTAACACAATGGTACGAATGAATGAGTAAGTAGTAGATACGTTTCCATCCATATTAATGAAATAACCTCATACCTGATCAAATACTTGAGACGGTTCTCCCTTCTTCTCAAAGCACATGTGCTCAATAACTACAATATCAAGAGCTCAATCTTAATATAAACCTAAGCTCTTAATAAAGGCAAAAAGTTGTATCTAAAGCTGTGGCATTGGTTTACTTTGCACAATGCACACTGCATCTTGCTCTTGTCTCTCTAGTAACTTGAATAATAACGTCATCAGTGACGTCACTAGTCCATTTGTAGTCACATAATCTCGAAGTTCAAGTACTCCTCGTGACCAATCTTGTAATCGTTGATCCACGAGCAATTGTCTCAACTTCAACACGTGAGTGGACACGATATTGGAGAATTCCTGGCTTGATTCGATCTCAATTGCATCGCATTCGACACGAATGGGCTCGTGAGTCGTACTAGACCACGCAACATTCGACGCCTGGAGACGATACGAGTCACAGCCACGCTTCATGAAATATGTGGCCAAGGCGAAGCGCATAACGCTGCTAGTCATCTCCATATGGCGATGGAAAACAAGAATGAATGTCACTTCAACGTGCTACTGTTGCTATCATTTCGATAAATTGTGTGGATTTGTTTAAAATCTTGATGTCTCATGAGACAAAATTTAGGCTGAAGTAATGATTGAAATGTGAAATTACATCGAAGAACATTTGCTTTTTGTTATGAATGGTTGGGTTACTTCACTACCGGTAGTACCGGTAGCGCTACAGAGTGAGTCCAATATAAAACCGTTTAAACTCTAATATTGCTCAATAAACGCATTGTATAAACAAAATACTCAATTAGAGCTCTCGGTACAAGAATTGTATAAAATGTTTTGTGTCCTTCCAGAGTAATATTGTATCAAATGTTGCATCACATATCTTCATAGTGTTAGTGCTAACAGAACCACAGTCCACGGACCCTACAAGCACACGTAACGCAGAGGGTTGTATCGTACTACAGCACCCGAGCAGTACAGTCGACGCCTCCCGCATGACGTTAATTATCGAATCCGAGCGACGTTCATAGCGTCGGTCGGTGATAAATCACCGGTAAAGTGACCCGTGGAGAAGTCGCGAAGGAGGAATGACCCTAAAGCCTCTGCAGCTTTGATGTCAGCTTGCTAGTGACGACGACAAGGAACTTGCCAACTGTAAAATCTTGCTTTCTTACTCGTAGTCTGATAGCGGTGGACAACTGCACATGAGGTTGCGGTCACCATGCACATTATCGACACGGCCCACTGACGGCCAGTAGGTCTTGTTCTTGCCTCCCAGGTGCCACGGGGCAGGGAATGCCCCCTGCTCCCGCGAGTACTTACGATCCCAAACACCAGCCGCGACCTGGTCCACCGTGTGTGGTGCGTGCTTAAGCGGAGAATCGTCCACAGCAATTGCACCTGTGATGACGTCCTCAATTTCGCGCCGAATGATCGCTAAGGCTTCGCAAAAGCGGTCCATCTCAGCCTTACTCTCACTTTCCGTAGGCTCGATCATAAGTGTTCCAGACACAGGCCACGACATGGTGGGGCTGTGAAAGCCAAAGTCTTGCAGCCGCTTCGCCACATCTTCCTCCACAATGCCAAAGTCCTTGAACGGGCGTATGTCGATGATGAACTCGTGCGCACATGTACCATTAACACTGCGGAAAACCACCTCGTAGTGATTCTCCAACTTCTTTGCCATGTAATTGGCATTCAAAATGGCTATAGACGTCGCTTGCTTCAGACCATCCTCGCCCAGCATGTTAATGTACATCCAAGGAATTGGCAAAATACCAGCACTACCGAAGGGGGATCCGCTGACAGCCGATTCTGTTTTCTTCACTGTATGCTTGCCCTCGCCGCCAGTAGGCACCACCGAATGTCCTGGCAGAAACGGCGCCAGATGGGCAGCTACACCGATGGAACCCACGCCAGGGCCACCACCACCGTGAGGGATACAAAATGTCTTGTGCAGGTTTAAGTGGCACACGTCAGCCCCAATGTCGCCCGGGTTGCACAGGGCTACCTGGGCGTTCATGTTAGCGCCATCCATGTAAACCTGAGCACCGTGCGAGTGAATGAGATTTACCATATCCTTGATACCCGGTTCAAACACACCAAACGTCGAAGGGTACGTGATCATGAAGGCGCTCAGATTGTCCGAGTGCTGCGCAGCCTTAGCAGCCAAGTCCTCACGATCTATGTTACCATTCTCATCCGACTTCACAACCACAACCTTCATGCCAGCCATAACAGCACTGGCAGGGTTTGTGCCGTGGGCCGACACTGGGATCAGACAGACATTGCGATGTCCCTGACCAATCGACCGCTGGTAGTTCCGAATTGTCAGAAGACCAGCGTACTCACCCTGGGCGCCGCTCTGCGGTTGCGTTGACACGGCACTAAAGCCCGTTATGACGGCAAGCGAGTGGTTCAGCGACTCAATGAGCTCGCGATAACCAGCGCTCTGGTCCTCAGGCACAAATGGATGCACGTTAGTGAACTCGGGCCATGAAATGGGGGCCAGCTCAGACACAGCATTGAGCTTCATGGTACAGCTTCCCAACGAGATCATGGAGCGGTTGAGGGCCAAATCCTTATCCTCAAGTTGCTTCAAATAGCGGGTGAGCTCCGTCTCCGAGCGGTATTTGTGGAAGACGCTATGTTCGAGGTATGGCGTCGTGCGACGCAATCCATCTGGAATACTTCTTGCCTGAATTTCTTTCGCACGGGCACCGAGAGCCTCACTCAGATCCATAGGTACGCCGCTCTCAGCTGCGCCGAACGCTAGAAGCAGCTTTTGCAGATCCTTCAGGTCGACGCTTTCGCCCATGGAAACACCCACACGCTTGTCGTCAATCACACGCACGTTCACACCGCGCTTCGTTGCGTCAACGGCCACGTCAGCCGCCGACTTGCCAGACTGGGACACGTCAACCTCCAGAGTGTCGAAGAACGCTTCGTTCAGCAACTGGCACTTCGGCGCAAACTTCTCTAGTCCAGCAGCCAGCGTCGCAGCATACAAGTTGGCACGAGTTGCGATAGCATGTAGACCCTCAGGGCCGTGGTAGACAGCATAAGCAGCTGCCATGTTAGCAAGCAGAGCCTGCGCCGTGCAAATGTTGCTAGTAGCCTTATCACGACGGATATGCTGCTCGCGAGTCTGCATGGCCATACGTACAGCAGGCTCGCCATGGGAGTCGACCGATACGCCGATAATACGGCCAGGCATTTTGCGGTGATACTTCTTGGTTGTGGCCAAAAAAGCAGCGTGCGGGCCGCCAAACATCATAGGTACACCAAAGCGTTGTGCTGAGCCTAGAGCAATATCCGCACCCCACTCTCCAGGCGGCGTCAGCTTTGTCAAACTTAAAGGGTCCGTGGCAACAGCCACAACAAGTTTGGACTTGTGTGCTTCGTCCACAAAATCACGGTAGTCGTTGACTGCACCGAACGTCGTCGGATACTGCAGCAACACTCCGCTGTATTCTTCGTCGTGCAGATCAAGATCGGTCTTGGGATTGCCGACAACGAGCTCAATGCCCACATTCTTAGCACGCGTGTGCATCATGCCAATGGTCTGCGGATGGGCATCTTGGTCTACAAAAAACTTGGTGCGCTTACCATTAAAGTTGCCATGAGCCAACGCCATCGCCTCCGCAGCAGCTGTGGCTTCATCCAGTAGTGACGCATTAGCGTACTCGAGGCCTGTAAGGTCCATGATCATGGTCTGGAAATTAAGCAGCATTTTAAGCCGACCTTGAGATACCTCAGCCTGATACGGCGTATAGGATGTGTACCATCCTGGATTTTCTAGAATATGACGTAGGATAGGAGCAGGTGTCAATGTGTCATTGAATCCCATCCCAATAAATGATTTAAGCGTCTGATTCTTCGCTGCTATTGCCTTGAGTTTAGCTAGGGCTTCACTCTCACTAAGAGGTGGTGGTAAGTCTAATGATTTCGTCAAACGAATTTCTTTAGGTACGGTAGCAGCCACAAGAGCTTCAATAGTATCAAAACCCACAGTAGTCAACATAGCTTGACGATCCTTCTCAGATGAGACACCTAAATGACGGTGCAAGAACGTGTCGGATGAAGCGTAGGATGAGCTATTAACCGACGTGGTCATAGCACGTACGAGAGCCACACGACGCATGGATACGATACGCTGAAGTAACATTCTTCTTTTTGATGACACAAATCGATGAAGACACTCAAGTGCAAATAGACAAATGCCATTGGATTAGAGAGAGAGAGAGCAAAGCCATGGACGGATTCAAGTGATGATGATGCACCACCGCCTATCGATTTTCAACGCATCTCCGGCATCCAATCGTAGCTAAAATGTCCGTACTCTAGCTGTGAGTGGTTGAAAAAGCGAGAAAAAAGATGCAGCGAGTGATTGGATTGAAAATCAATACGAAGCTAGGTATGAATAATGAACAAATCGGAGTAAGTGGTGCTGCTAAATACGGGTTCAGCTTGATCAAGTGGTTCTTCTAACAATGACTTTGACTGTATTCACTACTACATGTCGTTGAGTATGAAAACACTTGTTGAAATCTCCACAGACTCGAGGCGATACTTATACCCTGATATGCTACATATTCACAGGCAAATGCAATCATAAAAGTAGAAAAGTATCAAGTCTGCTGCATTCACAACCGCAATGTCGACAGAATTGCAAGTAATCAATCTACCGAGCCTAGTTGAGTCAAAATCGCACGGACAGCAACAAGCACTACAAGCACAAAGATGAAAACGAATACGTCATCTAGCGATTTACGGCCTCTTACCAAGAAGTCTGTAATCAAGTTCAGCTCCACAAATTACCATTAGCTTTTTTTCCCTTAGCAGTAAAACTCATTGACAAAACGCACCTTTCAGCACTGGATGACTAGACAGTGCTAGATTGACCAGAAAGCCCAAGTCTCCCTCCTGAGGATTCTTCACGTCCGGCAAATCCAGCGCCTTCTGGATAAACTTTACCCCGGTAGACACCAGTAATCTCACGAAAAACACACACAACACAACAGGCGGGTGTGCCACCAGCGACGTGAAAATGTATCCCAAATCAGACATGCCAGGCAGCCATCCGGCTTCATTTGTCGTTACCGACGCCCCTACTGCCTCCATCTCGAGTTGCTGCGTCAATAGGAGTTCCAGTTTTTCTCGCATTTCAGGCAGCACCTGTTCCCGCTCGAAATGTTGTCGGATAAAGTCCAAAGGGACTCCCTTGGCAATTAGATCCTGATAACCCACAAACAGCTGATCTTTAGCAACCAAACTCGCCGTGATAGAGCTCAAGTCCATGCACAACGCAGCGTAAAAGGCCGCTGCGACAATAAGCAGCAGCACGAGCTTCTCCCCAAGCAAGTGAAGCTTTAACGCCGTCGAATGGCGACTGACTGTAGCTTCTGTGACACCTAAAGTAGAGCCAGAAGCTGGTAGTATCTCTTGACGGTGCAATTCTGTAGTCTCCTGCGGAGTCTTGAGAGCCGTGACGTCCTCTTTCTTGTCGTCAAGCATCTCCTGCACCAATATCTCCTTTCTACGACGTCTATCAGCAGCATCTCGACGTCTCTGTACTGTATCTACACGCTTTAGTATCTCAATTTCTTTCTTCTGTGGTAATGCCTTCGAGTCCAAAGTATCCGCTACAAGCTCATCGACGTCATTGTCCAACTGCGTCTCCAAAGACATTGCATCCAACTCATCACTTGGTGCCTTGAGCGTCGGTATCTCCCCCTTCACCAGCTTCAAACGACTCTCGCTTCCTTGTAATACACGGGCCCGACGTGCTGCTCGCTTCTCCGTAGCCGACAATACTCGACGTATTGGCTCCTCTTCTTTCATAGTTATTTGTTCTATAGAAAACAAGCGGTTGTCTTTATAACCAATGAACAGATCAATTAATGACTCGCGTGAAAGCAGTCGGCTACTTACTTGACTGCAAAAGCATGTGCGACACCTGCTTCACACTGTTAGAATAACTTGCTTGGCCGTCGACGTGTAAAACAATGAGAAACGTCAAACGAGGATGGATTGGAAGTCACGATGTCTTTCGTGAGCAAACGAACCTTACAGAGTAATGACTACAGTCTTTTACATGAGAGTTTGTAAAAGACTTTAACGTGAGAAAGACAAGTGTTCACTTGTTGCTCTGCTTTCTATCTACTAGTCAAAGTAGTATGCTACCACCATCAAACATTACATCGCTCTTTTGGCACTCACGGTTCATGTCGTACAAAATGGGTGAAAGCCTGAAACCAGGTCTTGTAATTTCTTTATTAAACAAGACTATGGTACCGAGCTTCCGACACTAATCAGAAGCTCTTGGCCCCATTCATCACGCTCACGGTATTCAAGACGATTTGAACTTGAGATTCATACCTGTTGGACCTGCGTGCTGCACCTGGTCTCGGTGTCACGATCGCTGTCAAATTGACCCTAACCTTGAAGAATATCTCGTATCAATCAAGGACTTCGGAGGTGTGAGCAAATGCCTCGGCATACATGTGCATTGAATCGAAGGTGATGAATGTTTAGCAGGCTGCCTTTGAGAAGCTACTCGTGCAGTGTGGCCATGCGGATGCAATGAAGAGCGGGGACAAATGGCGAGGACGCATTGGGGCAGAAACGAAAGAAATTGAATTGCTATTCAGATCAACGTTAAGGCGTCTCTATGATCCACCATTTGTTCATTGTTGGGATTGCTGTGGGTGGTCAGTGCAGGAGCTCGGATATCGGATTCGCGGTGCACAAGGTCATGATGCACTCACCAACGTACCATGTGAAACTAGAAATTGGCGAAGAAAACGCGATGCGTGAAAAGTAAGATGGATCTGGAGATGAAGATGGTTGTTCCCGATTGATTCGAATGCTCTGTTTATCTAAGCAACACGCTTGCGACTGGTGAGAAGCAAACGCGAACTGTTGCCTGGAAAAGTCGTCAAATTTCTGGGTGGAGCTGTTGTGCTATGAAGCTATCGTGCAATTGGTGTGCAACAAGCAGATAGGAATGTTACGATCCAGAGCAAAAGCTGATTACAGCGTTGGCGTGAGTTGTAATTGTTGCAAGCCTAGATTTTGTGTGGCAGAGCCGATGACGATTACATGTGGGTGACAGGCATCAAGCGTTTCTAGTCGAAAGACAGCATGCGAAGCTTCAAACTCGTGAATATTAGAATGAATTGTGTTTGTGATACGTGTCAAAGAGTTTGCAAAAACTGGAGTCACGAGTGATGATGGCGGATTTAATCACAAAGGTCCTATTGGCGGCGAGACTGATGGAGTTGCGGGGGTACATGCTGCCGTTGCTGATGTAGGCGGCTGCAGCAGCAAGTCGGGGAAAGACCAGTGAAGATCTTTGCTGGTTGTTTTAAGCAACGATGCGAAACGGGGCATGATAAAATTGTTGCTTGGATGATTGACACTAGGTATGGCCAATTTCTGACGTCTATCTGAAACTCGGGCAATAGCATCCTGACTAGTTGGCGTATGTCAGACTGAACCTCGTAGATTGATATGAGGTGGCGTAGAAGTAGCATCAGCAACTTTGTAATTATGTGACTTAACTGCCGCTCTTTATTGATGCATAGCGAATGCATATACTAGAGTAAGCGTGACGGTGAGTCATCCTATCGTAAAATATCTCATTATGGATGAAAAAGCGTCAAACCATCTTTGACGTAACGCTACAATATGAGACCGTGTTGTTATATTCGCACGAATTCTTTTCAAATTCTATGGTTTACGTGTTACCATCAGCATATATATTACTCTCAACACTTTGTTGCTAGCGTTGACAAGAATCGCTTGTATCAAAATGTGTATCACCACCATAAGGTGCATCTCAGCAAATTGCTGCATTGACGTAGGTGTCGTGTGTTTACCTGATTGAGAAGCTTAGAACCAAAGGCTTGTGTTTTCGTATAAAAGGGAGGTTAAGTTCTGGTCGATGTATCTGCGCTGCTTCGAGCAAACTATCGTCGAGTTTGTCACTATCTAGTAGAAACGTCAATTGGCGCTACGTGTCCATATGATCACATGTCATATTCATAGCACCATGTTGATATGCCTTCCAACAATTCTTATGTAGGATGGTTGCAGTGGAGCCTTTGTAGTCTTCTTGGCGACAGACGTGCAGTCTGAAGCCTGATAAGGTAAAGAGAGAGGCGGTGATCGTCGGACATAAACACTTCATGCTACTGGATGAGCTTGATTGCATTTTTCCTGGCGAGACATATCTTATCTAATGAGGCTCAGCGTTCAGTGTGACAAATGGCGGATAATCAAGCGATGGTACAGCGCAGCGCGACGTATTTGCACTGCACGAGGTTCAGGATGGTAACTCGCAGCTGTACAAAGTAAGGGGATGGATTGGTGTACAGTATGCATGAAGGAGGATCATATGAGTTACCACGTATAGAAGCGAAACAATATGAAAAGCACTAGTCAGCGATCTTTGTGTCATCAAGCGTCTCATAGATCGACTACTAAACACACATCAACCTATATTGTAAATAAAATCTATAGTGAACAGTTGTACGCTACTTACACGATATGTGCTGCCTGGCTTGATGCGGCGGGTGCAGTTAAAGATTGTTGAGCTTTAGGCACAAGCAGCACGTCAGACGGATGTTTGCGATGTCGTAGTGCCAGTCCGCTTATCTCAAACTGATCAAGCAGTTCGGAGCTATTCAAGTATTTGTTGCCAACATTTAGCAGATCACACTGAAGCAGTTTGTGCGAGAACGCTTCATCATCGAGAAGTATCCGAGCCAGATGATGAGGTTTGAAGTGCCGCTCAATGTCAGCTTCGCGGCTCTTGCCCCCAAAATATACCAATGCTCCCATGAGGACCATTAGTGCACAACCAGCAAAAGTTAGTGTGGCTGAAAGATGCGGTACTGACAACGTCACATCCACGTATTTGACATTCGTATCAAACGCTAAGGTCGACTCACTGGTCTTTTGCTTCTCGACACCATACTGGAACAACCAAAACAATGCCGACTGATATGCCGGTTGTAAAGATCGCTCCGAATACAAGTGAGAGCTCTGCACACGATCCATAAAAACGCCACGTTCGCGTTCACATCGAGAACTATCGACTGGAATCCAGTCGGTGGTGTCAACAAAATTTTTAGGGAAAACAAAATCACTCTTTAAGATGTCACTCGTATCCACCTCTTGTACATTTGAAGTCACGAGAGAAGTCCAAAGCAATAATGATGGAGTGTACATTGCCAAGTCCTTCACTGGAATATGGCTACTGCCTACAATAACCATCTGATCATTACCTGATAACGGAAATGCAACTCCGTTGCAGTCATTCGCCTCGCATGAAGCGTCAAACGTGGAAGCGAGGTCAGTAGTATCCCACGACAATCGACCCGCAGTCACCTGGTAAATTTTTCGTGCGTTCACCAGCTCTACGACAAGCGCTTCACCTGTTGAATTGCCAACAAGCGACGAACGGATAGCGTCACCAACAATTCGCTTGGCAAAACTAAGTACTATTATGGAATTAGTAGAGCGACGCTCGCACTCGTTGCCGTCGACATTCATGGTGGCCTTATAATCTTCATTGCCATCTGCATCTAAGCAGATAGGCAAAGCTCGCACCTGACTTCCTTCGTCAGCTGGAGCACTGGTCAATGCAGCTCCTACGGGGCTCACTACACAGCCGAAACGACCACACTCCTCTTTCGCATTAATCTCAAACAGCCCCTCTGGAACCAGCGATCCATATACCACAGACTGTGTCGTGTCATTCATAAATTTTACATCACGACGCAAGAAATTCTTTTCCATGGGAATCTCCAGCGTCACGCCTTCGAATACCAAGTTGCCACTGTCTGTTATCCAGGGAAACCGCACAAATTCTACGCTGCTCTCTGCGATACTGAAGTTTCTCAAATGCATCCGTGTGCTAACCGCAAGATTCATTGTTGCGTTTGTGGCTTTAACAAGTTCTTGAATCATGTTCGTATCATCAGAAGATGCGACGTTGAAATCGTCTGATAAATCCAAAAAATCAAACACACTGGCGTTTGCTTGCACATCTTGTTTCCGAAAATAGTCATCGGTGGCGCGCATCGCGTAGTTCACGAGGCCACGTGCAGCAGACAAACTCATGGGCATTGTCACTTTTTCGATCAAAGTAACATTCTCGCCCAACGACACCGATAACGTGTTCGTATTCGTAGACTCAGGTGCAAACGGCAACAAACCGCTTAGCCATCGACGAGACGCAAAACCATAGCTCAACTGTGCGGGAAGTCGACGTGGGGAAGGCCGTCTGCATTGTCCAACATCATTTTCAGCTGCAAATTCCGGCATCTGCATAGCATTGCAAAGAATCGTGTCGGCACTCGACCCCAAACTCCCATTGATGAACGAGACGCTCTCATTCGCAAAGAGGTCGCTCTGTCGAATGGCTGAGTCGATTCGGACTGTCTTCTCTCTTACATAAAGAGCCATGAAACCATTGAGCAATAGTAAAAGCACAACATTTCCCAATGAAGCCAACAAATATCGTGTCCACCGCGAACTCTTCTCCTGCATTGTCAGCTGCGTGAAAAAGCACAAGAGCACAGCTGGCATCACCGCGCCCACCAACCCTAGCAGTGGTTTGACCACTACCGATGTTGCCAAACCAACGTAAAAATTATAAATGCCAATGTCACCACCGCCTGCATTCGATGCAGTGCTAGAAACAGCATACGATTTCAACACAATGCCTTGCTGTAAAAAGAACATGACAACGACAATTACCGCGACGCCTAGCATTGAGGTCCAAAATATCCGATGTCGATGCATCCTCACTAGTAGTGGTACAGCATTGGGTGCGACTTGCCTCTGGTATAAAAAGCCTTTAGCCGCAGACGTCACGGAGGGCGACTCGACGTCAAATATCATGCTCTCATTGCTGTGACTGATCTGACTTCGACTTAAATACCCAAAGCTATTGGACCGTGAGAGTGAAATTTGGGAGACTTCCAAAGGGGATTGCATGGACTACTTTGTCTCACGATAGACACAGTGACGAAATTAGTCACTGCAATCAAAACCGACTGAGAAGTAAAAGACGTAGGTTGACGCCAAGTTGAAAGTGACTAACTAGTGATAAAACCTCTTTGCCTCAACTGAAGTTTTGTGTAAGACAGGCTGACGTGTGCAATACGCTCTTATGACTGTAAGTGTGTGTGTGGTAAACAAGCACACACAAAGCTTTGACAGGTAACTCAAGTGTGGTCAGGTATGCAGAGGACCGTGGAAAGTGCAGTGAAGTTGTTATGGCTACTTCTTATTCGGTGTAGAGAGAGCTCTAGAAAAGGTTCAGTGTTCCATTTGAAGCATTCTGATTGGTTCCTTACGTGTTTTTTCGAATCTTTGGAGATTAAAGTAACGGCTGGAAAAATGGTGAATGAGTGAAAGAGCCAGGCCAGCGAGCTCTCCCCGATGGAGGCATTCAGGTTACTTCATTTTGTTTGTCTGCCTCCTAGTAGTATGTCGTAACTGCTAGTGAATTTATAAAGTCACGACACGAAGCTACACATACTGAGCAATGGGTTGTTTTACCTGACTATCATGGGTCTTATCGCCAAGAACACACATTTCGTTCCGGTTTTTTTTGGGGGTTTACCACAATTGCAAAGAAGAGTCGTGTTGTCGCTTTAACGTTGTTGAAACTGATATGGCTTTCGCTCTTTTACTCTTACTGCTAAAAGGTACAATGTGCTTGTGTCAATTCCTTATTACGGTCTCAATAGCAGCATACTAGACAAGTGACAATCAATTCGCATTGTCTGTATGGTTATTGCAGAAGACAATGCCGAAAACGAGGTGCTGAGGTCGTAACAGTGGTGGCCTATCGACGATGGGTCCAAGGGCTCAGCCGCAGCTGAGGTACTATCAAGCACCGAGTCAGTAGTAATGCATGAAAGTATATTACGTTCGTTCTACTTGCAAGCAAGTAGTCAGTGTTATTACGTACGACTACTTGACCCAGCGCTGGTCAGTCCAACGCTGGCACCAATCATACCAGACCGCCCAACGAGTTGTGGTGGCGGTGCCGTTGTGTATCACTTTCCAAGCGCTTATAACGTGTGTAGTCACTTTCTTGAATATTCTGTCTGTAAAGCAATGCATAAATGCGGGCACGTAAGTTTTCGCCTGTATCTACAATCTCACAACGTCGTGGTGTCATACAATTTGAAAAGCAAAAAGGTCTATACCGGCGAGTAGATCTGCTTGTCTTGGGACCGAAACTGCGATAGACAACATATAATAAACACAACGTCAAACAGGTCCGTTAGTAGCGATTCAAATATCATCACCAGTATGAAGCTCGTACCTCGACAGGCGGAGGTGACGCAAGCTGGTTCTCCGGATTCAAGTGGCTGCTCAGTCCTTGATAGTCCGGCTTCAGCGGACCACGTTCGAGCATCGCCGGTTGTACGTACATATTCTCCAACACACGCTCAAGATCCTCCATTTGACGCGAACGACGCGAGTCAATCATCACGGCCTGGTCGAGTGGAAGGTTTCGAGCGATGTTCGGATAGCGTGATGACACGAACAGGTGAAAACCCAGCGTAACGAACGGGAGAATAATCGAAAACGTCGCAGGCAATGCTACCTGCTTGGTGGCCAGCACCGACGCCATGATGATCTGAGCAAACATGAGCGCACCAATGACGAACCGGTACAGCGACGGAAAGAATGTACCTGACGTCTGTGTTGACGGATCGTGAACACACAACGCTGCCCAACGGTACACGATATCCGACAACAGCAGGTAGATCATCGCAAAGTAGTTGAGGATGGGAGCGATGGCGCAGAACACCAACACGAGCATCAGTACCAAGAAGTACTCAGACACCTGGTCGGACGCACTAAAGTCTTCAGGGTGAGACAGCGAGTTGAGACCACACCAAGCAGAAGACTGCTCGCGAGGCGTAAGCTTAGGTGCAAAGAATCGATAGATGGCAGCCTTGACGATCGGAACCACACGCAGCAGGACTAGCGTCAGATTGATCCCCGTCCTGACAAGCAAATATGTAATGAAGAAGGATGACTGCACTGCCACTGAATCGCTAACAATTGTAAGAATGGTGCTCACATCCGTTAGGCTTGAGTCACCTGACCCAATGACGGCATCAATGACGGTACCACCAATAATGGGCAGCAAAAACGTCACGTATATCTGGTAGATCACCAACTTGTTGAGCAGCGAGGCGTTCACCTGAGACGCAAAAGCATGGCCTTCACGCTTGGACAAAAGACCAAAAATGATCGGGGCTAATGCCGTCATGACGGACAGCATCAGTGGAGAGACCTGCTCCACAACAGACTTGACCCACGGGTAGTCCTGGATCACCTGGGCTAGCCACGACCATTGTTTTTCTAGCGAGTCTACCTTAGCAAAGGACACAACAATGCCTGTCGGCACAGTCCACAGCAAGATAATAGCAGTACTGAGACCCATCGATATCATAAACCACGTGTCCCTAGTGTTTTTCGACAGACCGATGTTCGGCCACACCACGTAATCCGCGTGGTCAGCAGGTTCTACCTTCATCTGCGTAGGATCTGCACTTTGTAGAATCTGAGTGCAGGACTGAGCCACCTTGAGGCTCCGGAAAGTGACAAAACCCGCTGCGCGCATAATTCCAAGCACTTTCTTGTCTTGCCGCTTCAGTCCCCTAATGTACCTCGATTCCAGTGCATCACCGTCCAAACTTTCTTCCTTGTTTACAAAATTGATGCTTCTCGCCGATTCAAGATTCTGGTCAAACCCTCTGATGTCGTCATCTGTACTAGATTCCACAAGATGCCGAGTCACTGTCGCTTGGTTGCTCAGAATGAAATGCATCTCCTTCTCCACTGCATCATTAAGTTGCTTCAATTGGTCTTGGAATTGCTCCACTGCATCCACTTTCTTACCTCCTAGCAGTTTATCCTTCATCAAGACGCGTTCTCCTGTTTTAGCACTTTGAGCAAGAGCATGCTCCAGTTTGTTGCGCACCTTAACACGTTCTGCCACCAGTTTTTCTAAAGCACGACATTCTAATGCCACGTACACATAAAGAACCGAGTGTGGAAATAGCAGTTCCAAGTAGTTTCGAAGCGTTTGCTGAGTGCAAAGGTTTGGTGGTAACCCATTCAACACCACCGTATACTGTTGCGAATGTTTTCTCGACATGAACTCGTGACGTCGACGTATGTATTCTTCATACTCTTTCCAAAGTAAAAAACATGTACACATTGAGACCAAATACATGGTAACAACTGTAAAGCCAAACCGCCATGTCATATCCGTTTCTAAATGTGACAACGTCATCATGTACAATGCATCTAATGAACTACGTTTGGCATAATAGTAAATGGGAAAATTCACAGCAGAACACACGATACCCACTGCTGCTACTTTCTCACAAAATCGTAAAAACCGTAAGAAAAACAATGTATCCATCCCACAATGTTCAAAAATCTCCTCGTCCGTGGTAAATAAAAGCACTTTTATCCATTGAAACACTTTTGCATCCCGACATTTCGCTACGGTTTCATTTCTTGTCTCAATTTTATTATCACGACAGTAGTAGGCACTTTGTAATTTCATCCGTCCCAATTCAAATGTGAGCCAACCGATTGCACCCATGACAAAATACACACGCATACCATCACGTATTGTTGCAGACGGTGTTAAATCTTCCGTTGCTGCTCGATCAGTCACACTTGCTGCTGCATCTGCCATACTGAAAGAATAGGCTTAAAAGACCTTTTCGTGGAAATCGATCAGTCAGTCGGTCGGTCGGTCAGTCAGTCGGTCAGTCGGTCAGTCAGTCGGTCAGTCGGTCAGTCAGTCGGTCCACTGGTTCTTCTAATCTGACTATAACACAGATTTTGATGGTGAAAGGAGGGGCGAAGTCGAAAGAAAATATATTAAACACGTCCACAGGCGGTTTTTTATTTCAGTGAAAAAAAAACACCTAGAGAATATAAAGAACAAGTAAAAATAGGTCCAGTGAGTAATGTATTGTCCAATAAAAGAGAGCATCAGGTAATATATAATTATGTAGCCATCTTGTAGCCGTTCAGTCTATTGTTTAGTATGACAATGACGATGAATCATGATGACCTTACAGTATCTCTCTTATCATCTCCTGATGCCTCCTCCTCTTCTGCTTCTTCTTCTTCTTCTTCTTCTTTCCCTTTACCTCTACCTCGTCATTCATTACATTTTCGTCATCATGATACGCATCATCATTCTTCTTCTTCTTCTTCTTCTCTTCCTACATGGTTATATCCTCCAAAAGGTGAAACGCGTCGATTTCAAGTGCCTTTTCAATCTCTTCAAGCCTCTCGTGACTATCTTGAGACACCAAGACACCATTTAACTCAATGGCCATCCACGGCTATTTGTGGTAATGATATTCTAGCTAGTGTCTTGTATTCATCTGGTATTGTCGCTGCCAATGCTGGCAAATTAACGCCATTGGCACAAACACTTGTGGCTATCGTGCTTTTTCTATTCAGGTCCATCTATGAGGAAGCAGTGACTGCAATTCCATTGAATGGAGGCTCCTACAATGTTCTTCTCAATACAACGTCCAAGAAAACAGCTGCAGTAGCTGCGTCACTTGGTATCATATCGTACTTAGCTACAGGAGTTGTTTCAGGCACCTCTGCCTTACGGTATCTTGATACTCAGTTTCATGTGGATATCGTGCTTGGAACGATTTCGTTGCTCTTTTTCTTTGCTCTCTTGTCCATTATTGGCATTGCAGAGAGTGCAAATGTTGCTCTACTCATTTTTATCGTTCATGTCACGACGTTGACGCTATTGAGTGGATTTTCACTTTGCTATGCAATGCAACACCCCGATATTTTCTGGAAGAACATGCAAACAGATTTTCCAAATGTTAATGTGGCCGGGGACGTCATGAAGGGGAATGTGTTTACAGGAATTTTTTACGGCTATTCATCAGCCATGTTGGGCATCACGGGTTTTGAGACGTCGGCGCAATTTGTCGAAGAACAAGCACCAGGCGTATTTCGGAAAACGTTGAGGAATATGTGGAGGTTTGCCACATTTTACAATTTGTTGCTGTCATTCTTGTCATTAGCAGTGCTACCGTTAGAAGGACCTGGAGGAATTTATGACGAAAAAGATGTGGTGCTGGCAACAATGGGCAGGGTCGTGGCTGGTAAATGGCTTGAAAGTTGGGTGTCACTTGACGCTTTTGTGGTTTTAGCGGGTGGTGTGTTGACGTCTTACGTGGGAATTACGGGTCTTGTACGTCGTCTGGCGTTTGATCGTGTACTCCCGGCATTCCTCACGTATACGAACAAGTGGCGTGGTACGAATCATTACATCATCTTGTTGTTTTTTGTGCTGCAGGCCAGTCTTGCGATTTTGCTCCATGGCGATGCGACAGTTCTTGCTGGAGTTTTTACGTTTGCATTTTTGGGAGTTATGGCTCTTTTTGCCTTTGGCTGCATATTGCTCAAATTGAAACGTGAAGACATACCGCGCGATGCGCATGCGCCATGGTGGAGCTGTATTTTTGGACTGGTGATGGTACTGCTTGGACTGTTGGGCAATTTACTGGGAGACCCGGCCATCTTTACATATTTTTCCTTGTACTTTCTAGTCTTCACCTCAACGATGTTTATTATGCTGGAGCGCGTCTTTATTCTGCGCATTATTCTTTATATTTTGCAAAAGCTCTTTCGGTCTCACGGTGCTCAAGATGGTGGTACTACCGAAGATACTGAAGTAGTCAAGTCAAGTCAAGAGAGAATAGCAAAAGAGTATCGGACTGGAGCAAAGGGCGGACGCACAATTACAGCGGTGCTTCAAGAAATTCACCTTCCACCGATTGTATTCTTTTTCAAGACGCCCACTCTATCCGTGCTCAATAAAGCGATTCTTTATGTGCGCAATAACGAGCATACACACAATTTGCTAGTCGTACACGTGAGCGAAGATGCAAACTTAGCAGAAGACGATAGTGCAGAAGTGACAGAGTTTGATGTGCAACGATTGCAGCGTGAGCGCGAAAAAGTGGAGGATATGCGTGAGATGGCTCGTATGTTTGACCTGACGTACCCGAAACTCAAGATCGATTTTGTGCATGTTTGTGGATCTTGCTTTGACACTGCACTCGTCCATTGGTTGTCCGACGAGTTGGGTGTACCGCCTAACATGATGTTTATTCGACAGCCTAGTACTAAACACATTCACCGGATTGCAACGCTGGGTGTACGGGTTATCACTGGCTAGAGTAATTGAAGATACTCTCACTATCATTTGTGACGTGTTGGTACTGGTTGAGGCTGGTCTCAACGTCGACTTGACATCGCAAGATTACGGTTTTTGAACTGCACAAATTTCGTATTCGCAGCAGTTGTGATATAATGTCATTATCAAAAGTAAACGAAGACTATAGAGTAGTGTTTGGAAGTACAATAGCTCGTCGACTTAGAGTGACAGTAACATTATGGGCTTGTAGCGGGTTTTCGATTCAAAGCTTTGGTGAAGTATTGCTGCAGGTGCTAATGAGATTGTATCGATGCGAATATTTAGAAGACACAGTCGTGCAAGTCTGGAATTTATCACTACAAAACTCATGCAAATGTACTAGCGTCTTCTACAATTCATTTTCATTTTCGCAAGAATGCGCTGAATCAATTCAGCTATCGTGATGTAGTGAGTCCATCGATAAATGACTGCAAATTTCATTGCTATGTAAATGACTGAGTAAAATATGTAAACTGCTATCAACATGTCGCTGTTGGCAACAAATGGTACAATAAACCTCTTGGCGAGACTGTGCAAAGACAAAATTAATCGGCAGTTTTGTGACGAAATCAGCTACTCAAGGTCTGGTCTACAATTGTCGATACAAAAGTAGCTACGTCATAGTCACATTCAAGCAAGCCCCTCAACTTTGCCGTCTTGTTCTTCACCGATAGGCCTACGCGCAGGATTAGCCTCATTCAGACTTAGTCCAACACGCATGTCGCGAATGCATTGAGTTTGCTCCAAAATGTACCCAGAATCCTCGGTATACGTCACACAATGCACAGAAACTTAGACACTTCACCGAGGTCTATCACCTCAAGTACCTTCATGTCACTGAAAAGTTTGTATCACGTCGCAAACCCTCTTAGCAGTCACCAACAGGTACACGAAGGTGTGTATTTACATACACACCTGCTACACCAATGTAGTGTGGCTATACCTTGGGTACATTAGTAGGTTCGATGTGGCCGTATCTAACGTACGAAGGGCAGAGAACAACTATACTCAACTAAGTCAAGTGACTTTACATGTCTGCATATTAATTGGCTACAGAGCCAATAAATAGTGACTAGCACTAAGTATAGAGTAGGTGCTTCTATATTTAGTGTTAGAAGCTGAACAATATAAATAAATCAGTTTCAAACCTGCTCTATAAGCATCACTGCTTGAGCGTTCTCTTCCTCTTGAGAAATTGTATCTTTGAAACAAAGTGGCGCAAGGTTTGAAGAAAATGGAGAAACAGATATTCAAGATAGAGACTGAAAAAGATGGGCGTAAGCATATTACGGAAACGCGTACGGTTTAGGGACGAACTTGTCCCGGAGACGCGGCACCAGGATGGGCTCGGACGAAAGTCGGTACTAGGAGTTCCATGGGTAAGTGGAGTCTAAGACCCTCACGGCGTCCAGCAGGTCGGCGGGATCTTACCCTTCCTCGCACCCTGGGAACCAGTATACTACACAGCGAGGTCGGGGAAGGTGCCGGAAGGGGTCGAGCAGGATGTTGAGGTCGCACCGACCGTCACTCATCCCCTTGAAGAGTAGGTAGACCACCCCTCGCCACGCCCAAATCTCACGACCCCGTCGTTTCTTCCGGGCGTTGTAGTACGAAGAGAGGAAGGAGTTGGAGCGCGCTTGGTCCTTTGAGAGCCACAAGTAGTGGTAGGCCTCCCAGATCGCCTGGCTGCGGTCTTCATCAAAGTGCAAGTAATTATCCCCAGCTCTGCGAACCAGCCCACTGGTTGGAAGGATACGGGAGGGGGGGGTCGATACTCGAGCTGACACCCATGGGCGGGCGGCTAAGAGGTTATTGAGCATCGAGGAGTTGACCAACGACGACTTCCACTTGGCAAGTCGATTAACCTTCCCATCTGGTGGACCAAACCAGCCCCAAGGCAACCCCAGGCGGTCGACCAAGTTGCTGGGGGTCCTCGTCACGACAATCAGCGAGCTGACCATGTCGGCCGACCAGGGCTCTACCTCCGCTGCAGTGAAGAACTTCACCTGCAAATACCCAGAGATGAATTCACCCTTCGGGAGTTTGGGTGACTTTCCTGGGGGAGAGTCCTCCTTGGTGACTGGGGCTGAAGCGTCTTCTCCCGGGACTGACTCGACCTCAGAGTCCGAGGACCCAAACATGGCGCGGATTAATCCTGAACGGGGTTGGGCGACCGGTCATGAGATAGAGTCATCTGAGACAGCTGGGAGCGGCGGGTCGGTAGGCGTACTACGACGCCGGGAGGACCGCGATCGAGCCAAGGTCGCCCGTACCACTTCACTGTCCTCTCTCGCGGTGTCATCATCACGTTCCGGAGAGGTTACCAAAGGTGGACCCTTGGGGGGCCTGACTTGGGCGCCGACGAGGCGGGAGTACTGGAGGTGCTGGACTTGGCGGCCTTGGGGACCTTAGCGGTCGCCTTGGCCGGGGAACGTCGAGGTCGTTTACCCACCGCCGCGGTGGGAGGTACCATGGGAGCAGTCACGGGAGGAGCCGCGAGATCCTGTAAGGGACTCGTGCGGCAGTCTTTTTGCCCCAACTCCGCCACCATAAGAGCGTAGCGGCTCTGGCGGTAGTCCATCCGCCACCGCAAATTCTCCGCCAGTGACCTCTCTTGCTGAAGTTCTTCGCGCAACTGAACCACGAGGCGGCGGGTGTCTTGCAGCTCTCTTTCGAGGAGCTCACACCGGGTGATCCAGTAGGCGTCGGGGCTGAGGACGGCGGTAGGTCGACTCTCGCACACCTCAAGTCGTCGGCTATATAATCTAAACGGTCTTGCAGATCGCGTAGCACCTGATGCGCGGGGTCCACCACAGCAGAGCACCACCTACGACCTCAATAGGAACCACGGTAGACTCCCTTGTCCCAGGCACCTGGAGAGAATTGTCGGTCGGTGTTAGGAGGAAATCTGAGCCTCTGGGTCAACGGCAAGGACAAGAATGTCCAAGACCGGTCCCTCGGCCGTTGGGTCTACCCCAGAGGAAGGAACAGCTGAGATGCGTCTAGCCAGATAACGTATATAGAACGGCCACACAAACAAGAAGTGGGTAGAGATGTTGTCTCCAGAGAACCTCCGACGAGGTTACCTCTAAATAGAGGTGTACGTCATGAAATTGACTTGGTTCCAGGAACCAAATATTGTGTGACGCGACAGCGGCCGCTTCCACGAGAACAATGCGACGTCATTGACGAGTTCTTCGTGCAAAGCACGCGGCTGGCATGGTGCGCGAGAGTAAGTCTCCGCACTCTATGCCCACGTTTTGTGTGAAAAAAAACAAATGGGAAGTGGCGAATAGTGCATGCTTACAATAAGCTGAATGCAGCCACTGTCCCAGCTCAAACACCGATTCCTCGCAAGGATGTCCTTCAGAACAATATAGTGGGATGTACGATGTACAGTGCTCTCGACTTGGTCGATAGATATTACCAACTGCTCATGCAAACTAGTGATATCCCGCTGACAGCGGTAAGCACTCCGAGTGGTATGCTCTGGGAGTTCCTTGGCATTCTCTGTGATGGATGGTATCATGTCGTTATCGGACGGGAGACTGCTTAGAAAAACCACTAGCTGTCTCGCTTCATCGACGACCTCTCCCAGCGTCTGCAACCGACAACCAACTCGTCAAAAGCGTACAGAGGCTGGGCCACACCTGGTCCACTCTCTATTTTGAGTGCATGGATACGACGTGTTATCGTGACACGGTTATGGAGCGTGGAACGGTTATCGAAGTCTCGTAGCACACCCCACGCATGCATCGCACGCGTCGCAGACCGAATCTTGGTCTGATGCTGTATCTCCACACCTTGAGCGATAATACTAAACGCCTATATGTCACTAACGAGCCACGCCTCGGTGACCTCGTTCTTGGGCTTCACAACCTCAACATGCGCAAGTAGACCCTTGCGTGTCAATGTCATGCGCATGTAATACACTCCCAGTGGAAGTAATTTGCACTCCCGAGGAGGACTTCGGCGCGTTTGGAGGTCATATCTCGAGCGTCAGTCGGTGGCCTTGTGGCTATTAACCTGTTAATGTCGTCGGTTATTGTGTTGGAGGCAAAAGTTGAAGTAAATATATTTAAGGTTTTTAGTCACTACCATGAGCTATTTCTAAGCCTTTATGTAACGCTGTTCCATGGCAATCCTCTGACACTGATGATTTATCATATAACTCAGTATCCTAACAACATGGAGCGTACGCTTAGCGGTATAATATCAACACGATGACTATTTCATTCTTCTTAGACAAGGTGGTTAGCTTAACGACAAATTGCATTGTTAATATTGCGTCTGATCTAAATACTCATAGCAAAGTAACGCACAAGTAGAGACGATATCAGAATAAGATTACGGTGTTGTCTCTTGGATGCGGTGCGGACTTGAAGATAGAATAGCAGTGCTGTCTGCCTATCCCACCCAGTCCTTGCTGTCCGCCGGCTGCCATTTTTGGTACAAACCAGGGCAAATTCGCCACATGGTTTTATTTTGATATAGTGGATACGATCTGCGCTGATACGACAGATCTCTGAGACAAAGCATCTGTGATGTATTACAAACGTCTAGAGCTTGGCAATGGAACTAAATGTGAGCAAGATCGACCTGCTTCGTGTACGCACGATCTTTTTACTAGGATATGCTACTTCCTGCTATTAATTTACTTTCTGCTATTTTTAATGGAAATGAACAGTTCTGCGGCTATCTCTTTGTGTCAAGCAGCTTTGTTTCTAGCGCTTTCGCCGACAAGATGTTGGCAAATAAAAACTCACAGGTGATTCATGTTGCGTGGTTTTGGTGAGTGGAATATATCATTGCAGTGATCTGTCATTTGTTCAGGTGTAGATATTGGTCACAGATACTTTTTCTCCCAGCTCAATCGGGCGCTATATAATGACACTGAGACCACGATGGACAAAGGGCAACAGTGTTGATGAATCTACTGGAGAGCTAGGGCATTCCAAACCGCCAAGCGGATTTTGCGCCGCTTAATTCTCCATAACAAGCACATAAGATCATGACGGAACTTCTTTAAGTTGCATGTCATCAATCTTTGTTTGTGACATTTGATAAGTTCGGTATGAAGTCTTAGTGCACAATATATTTTGAACACAGCAATTGGTGTTGCAACATTAGTAACACGACGAAACAAAACAACTTTGAGGTGACTTTAGGAGCAAAAAAAGTCTTTTTTAAACCCTTTTTATCTAAATATCTTTTTCTGTTGGAGTGTCTATTTTACTTGTACCAAATCTTAATTTTGGGTTTGCAAATCGATTTTACCTAGTTTCAAGATATTATCGAAATGGAAGATGCAAAGAGTGTCTATAGTGCCCTCCGTCCTCGAACATTGTTTGTTTCGGCCTCTCCCGTGCTACTCACTATCAGTCTTCTATATAAATCTCATCATGTCTCCTTTCTACAGTTCGATGTGTTTACCATTCTCATCTGCGCGCTATTAGCACAACTGATTGGAAATCTCAGTGTCGTATACAACAATTTCCAACGTACATTGCAGCCCAGTAAGATCACAGAAGTGCCGGATGTGAAGATTATTCTTAAGTAAGTATATTTTGTATCATTTATTTTGTATAGTATATGAGAAAAAGAACCTAATTTAGGATCCTTGTTATTTTATCCAATGGGATATTTTGTTTTCGTATGTCGTTTATAGTTTATTAACGCTGACTCAAATTCGACGTTGGTCGACTCTATTTTACGGTCTTCAATTGACTCTGTTCGGGTTAACGCATGGCATTTATGGCAAAAGCATTCAAATTACGGGAGCAATGGTCTCACTTGTCACATTAATATTGATCTATTGTCAACGCAAGGACAAGTTATTGCGAGTAATTGGGCTACGTGAAGCTATGATCGCCTGGGGTGTTGGTCCGATTGCTATGTTCAGCACGTCTGTCTATCTCGTTGGGGAATTGCCATGGGCTATTGTCATGTATGCGTACATTGTGATGCTTTTAGCATGGGCGTATTTACTACTTGAAAGTGCACGGGACGCACCATTTGCTAGACGCATGGGGTGTGCAGACACATCGTTGGCACTACACTTGGGGTTTCAGTACTGTTTCCAGGGCTTTTTGCTACTAATGGTATCGTTCTACGGTCTTGTCCTAGTGATCGGAATTGCAATGGGACATCTGGGAAATTTCTTGCTGGTCGTGACGATTGTTAAACTCAAGGACATCAGTGAGGATTTAAGACTGGAAAGACTCAACCTGTTGCCAGACCAGTTTGCTCGACTTGCAGCAGTATTAAGCGTTGGACTCATTTTTTCAATTCTCGCAGGACTAACATAGTGTTTTATTCGCAAAATGGAGATCACAACTACTGAATCATACATACGTTGGCCATCACCGTTCTGTACTAGCGCTTTTGTTCGAGCAAAGTGTCTGCGGTAAACTACATAACGTGCACTCAATATAGCAATATGGCTGTGGTAATGAAGTCATAGAGATACAGCAAGTGAGTCGCGCTATTGAGCAGGTGAACCATCGGCCGAACATTTACTATTCGGCGTAGCGCTAGCACTTGCACTTGCACGTGTGCTCTTTCGCAGCAAGCGGAAAAATGCTCGTGCTACTGAAAACGGTACGCGAGCCACCGGTGGGGACGCGGGTGACGATGAAGCGGTCGGTGGAGAAGGAAGCAAAGTGTTTGCTGCTTCACTATTGCCGCTACCGCCAATCTTCCGCATGGAAAACCCGTGAAACGCACTTCCAAAACCCGAGCCTTTAGACAACAGTGTGAAGCGTTTCGACACGCCATCTTCGCCCTGTACAGATGCAGTCACCTTGCTGATGCGTTTGGTGAGCCACGAATGCCACATGAGAAACGGAACTTTCTTCGCTATGACTTCATGGTACCACATATCGATTGTGATGCGGCTGGATGAATTGAAACAGCGTTCGATCAGACTGTTTTCGTGGATGATGCTCAATGCTGTCAAGTGAAAGTAGTGGTATAACTTCTTGTGGGTGTCTTTCTCCAACTCAGGCACTGGCATACGAGAGCCGTCTTTCGTCGCAGTATTCGGTGTGTGTGGCAAGGACGGCGTTGCTGTCACATCAAGAAAAGACCGTCGTTGTTTGCTTCGTAACGGCGAAAGCATAGCCCGATTTTCTGCGTCGCTCGTCGAGCCCTCGGGGTCCATATTCGTGACCTGATCCACATCGGACTTATAATCTCTGGATATCCTTCACTTCAATACTTTCATCGTCTTCGTCACTTTCTTCGTCGTCGCGGTCAACGATTGCCTGTGAAAAGTACGAAATGTGTTGCAGCAGCTCGAGCTCGCGTTGAAGCCGTTGACATCGCGACTCGGACGATAGCAGTTCCTCACTTACTCTATTGCTGTGCACCAATGTATCATCTTTCGCTTCTTCTGCAACTCGGAGTTGTTTCTTCAACAATTGCATGTCTGTCTCGTGCTGTTGTGCGGCTTTATGCAATGCATCGTTTTCGATCTTAAGTTCATTTATGCCACGTTGAGTAGCATTTAGTTCTTGCAGTAATTTCTTCTTGTGCAAATTCTCACTTTCTTCAGCAAACACTTCGCACTCACAAGTCTCATGTTGCTGTTGCTCTGCTATCTGTTTCCATTCTCTCAACAACTTCAGCTCCATTTCTTTCGAGTGGTCAAGCATTTGAACTTTTTGTAATTCTGTCTGAAGCTGAGCGATCGTGTCCAAGTGATGCGAGTACTCGTTCTCACTACTCACTGAAACATCATCAGTAGCAGGTACAATATCCTGGCGACGGCATTCACAGTGGTCGACAAACTGCTCAAACTCTTCCGCTAATATCGTCTTCTCCTCTTCCACACGCGCATATTTGCGTTTCCATTGTATAATCTCGTGCTTTGCATGCTCCGTACGTCGTTTCCACGCATCTCTTTCAACCACGAGCTCCTCTGTCTCAGTTTCCAACTGAATTTTGAGTGTTTTCACTTGCATTTGCAATTCTTCATTAGCTTCAAGGAGACCGAGACCGTATTCTGCTGCCTGTCGAAGCTCCTAATCAGTTACAAATACATGGAGAATATATAGAAATCAGCTACACTTGCTTTAATCTTGTGTTTACTATACATCATTCATTCTTACACGTTCACGGGCCTGTACCAGCAATTTCAGTTTATCTAGACGACTTTTATCATCTACAAGCGAGACTGAAATTTGTCCATCTTTACTGGAAAGAAGAAGAAGCAGCAGCATGTTAGTAGAGTAAACACTATCGACTCCTGCTACAATCAATCAATGAACTAATTACCTCACGTAGAATTCTTCTTCTGTGTCTTCTGGGTTGGACATTATCATCACGTGTTGGTGGGTATCAAGTAGATTGAGAAATGAAAATATGTGACCATCTTCTCTTCTGATCCTATGCGCTATGTATTGACCTGTATAATTTAATTTACATGTACTTCCGATACAGACTGGTTTATGTGTGTCTTATCCATCATACAATGTAGAAGTTGTCATTTTTAATAAAGTTGATTTATTACCTCTTTGTACCGACAAAAGAACTACGAACACCAACTGGCACATGTTTAAACAGCATGATGCTGGATAAAGTGCAATGATGTGGATTTTATTATATACTGAAAAATGTATGCAAACTAATCTCACACTGTACATACACAGTCTTTTTCAGATACTTTATAACCATACAAAGTACGTTCAATTGTCATTTTTCGAATGTATATGATATGAAATGATGTAACCATTATAAAGAGCATGTAAGGAATAAAATAGTAGCAATGACCGATAACTGTAACGCTACAGAAGAAGAAGGAAGACAGACAGACGGGTATGCAGTATACAATCGTCACCACTCTATCACGACATTTGGGTCTTTTAATATCCTGTCTAATAACGTGTCCTTCAACAATTAATAAATTTTTAATCGCTATATATTAATACTAAAGTGTAAGTAGTAAATCATATGGAAGAATATTACGATAAAATACAGACCAAGAGACACGTTGAAGTTTTCTTGTATCTAATTTTTACAACCAATTCTATATTGTATACAAATTTCCATACAATGTTCTCTTTGCCACTCATTTCTTCCTATCGCGTGTCAGTGTTTTACCATAGAAATTTCTTAATACGTTATTCAACTATGTAAACTATCCTGTAAAAGAACCCTATTCGCTATTTTACACTCGTTTTCATCCAATCACATTACACTAATTTGACTCAATACATTCACTCTTGGTACCATCGTATAAGCAAGTAACTCAAGTCGCACGGAACATGGTGTGTGTCCTGCTCTTGCTACTTGTTTCGATGGATCTAATCTATTGAAATGTATACAAGAGTCATTAATCGATTTATTATACGTCTTTCTATATGCTTCTAGGGCTCGCATCGATCCAACAATGCAGAGACTGTCGAACTATTAAGTTCTAGCTCCGATAGTGACGTGTCTGTGGACAAAAATACGGTCAGTTTACGACCAAAACTACGAAGTCAACGTAATCAATTGATACACAAGAATGATGGTCAAGCATTAAGCTCGGTTGATATTGTGCGACCGATAAAAAGACGTCGTGAAGCGAAGAAAGAGATCCAGGTAAATAATAATAATATTGTTTTTATTTATATTTTAATTTAATTTAAAAAGATTGGTGGATTATTATTTATAGGATTTGGATTAATGTTTTTTATACTGACATTGTTTACGTAATCATTTGAATATCTATCTGTCTTTTGTCTATAGTATGCTTATGATGAGGAGGAAGATGAGGAGGAGGAGGAGGAGGAGGAGGAAGATGAGGATGCGACGGAGAATTACGTGGACCATATAGAGGGGACAGTATCAGAAGAGGAACATACTATACCAGAGAAAGATACGACACGTCGACGAAGTCAACGTAAGCGCAAGTCTGTTCCATTGATGACGGAATATTCCGATGACGACTTTATCATGAGCAGTGACGAGGAAGTGGAGAAATCAAAGTCGGCACCTAGAGTGAAAAAAAGGTGGTAGCAAAGAACAACAATGTAAATGCCAAACGGAAACGAAAGAACTCGTGGACTGACTCGAGTGATAAAGCATCGGGTGATAGTGACGTAAAAGCGGTGGAGACGATGGGGGGGACTGGGAGTGGATGGATTTGTTATTGAAAAAGTACTGGGTCGTGAAGTACACACACTCAAGGAATGGAAAAAAATGTGTTGGAACAAAAACACTCGCTTTTTGACACATTACTCGATTTTCATGCCAGACACGGAAGAGACAGAAAAGCAAATTGAGGAGCAGGAAGAGGAAAAGTTTCAACATGGCGAGTCTACTACAGTCAAAGGTGTAGCACACTCTACGCAGAAGGCCGGCATTGATGACAATGAGATTGATGCTGACGAGGAACGATTTTTGATCAAGTGGAAGACGTTGTCGTATCTCCACACCAGCTGGCAAACGGAAGATGAGTTACTAGAAACCGACAAGAATGCGAAGGGCAAAATTCAGCGTTTTCGTGAAAAGGAGACTCGTGCTCTTTACGCTCAGGATGTACAAGGAGACGAGTATTTTAATCCGGAGTTTCGCAGTGTCGATCGAATTCTTGAGATTAGGAGTCGACCGCTTGACGATTTTCTCACAGATGATGCTATGAATGGTGAGAATGAACTGCAGTATTTCCTGGTGAAATGGAAAGCTCTGTCTTATGATGAGATTACGTGGGAGCGTGAAGATGATGTCAGTGATGATGCGGCTGTGAAATTGTACAACGATCGTATCGTTAGAGCTGCAAAGCGTTTAAAGAAGATTGCTTTCGGAAAACAAGCACCGCAACGTAAGCACAAGAAGTTCAGGGGCTACACTGCAGAGTCTCCGCCACCTTGCAAGAAAGAGCAAAACTTTCAGTTGCGTGACTATCAGCTTACAGGCGTAAACTGGATGCTTTTCAATTGGTATCAGAAGCGCAATTCGATGCTTGCAGATGAAATGGGTCTTGGTAAAACTGTGCAGACTGTCATGTACGTCAATCATCTTGCGGTTGTTGAGCGAACACCGCGGCCGTTCATTGTCGTAGCACCACTTTCAACGTTGGGCCACTGGCAGCGCGAGTTTGACAGCTGGACCAATCTTAACGCCGTCGTTTACCATGGATCAGCTAGTGCGCGAGAGGTTTTGCAAAAGTACGAGTTTTTTCTAACCGATGATGAGCTACTGCGTGCTGAACAACTGTCCGGAATGAAATCGGCAAACAACAATAGCAAGCGGCCTCTGCAACCTAAACGCAACTGCTACCGGTTTGATGTGTTGATCACCACATTTGAGATGGCGTCGGCGACAGACCTCTACAAATTGGCTCAGATCGATTGGCAGGTCATGATTGTGGACGAAGCACATCGTTTGAAGAATCGCAATTCCAAGCTGTCTAGCATTCTACGCACAAGGTTTACGTACCAAAACATGTTGCTACTGACCGGCACACCACTGCAAAACAACGTCGAGGAGCTGTGGGTACTTTTGAATTTTCTCGATACAAAAAAGTTTGAATCAAAGGAAGACTTTCTTGACAGCTTTGGAGAGTTGACGGATTCAGCACAGGTAGAACGCTTGCACTCCGAGCTTAAGCCGTACTTGCTTCGAAGAATGAAGGAGGATGTTGAAAAGTCGCTTGCGCCGAAAGAAGAGACAATAATTGAAGTTGAGCTTACAGTGCTTCAAAAGCAATATTATCGTGCTATTTACGAAAAGAACACAGAGTTTCTTTCAAGGGGCGGTAGGAAAGGCGATACTCCGAGCTTAATGAATGTTTTGATGGAGCTGCGCAAGTGCTGCAATCATCCCTTCCTTGTGAAAGGTGTCGAGGAGCGCGAAGTGAAACGGCTAGCAAAGCAGGTATCGGAGTCAAAAGAAGAAATTCAACGACAAATCAGCGAGAGCCTTGTGGACACGTCGGGTAAACTGGTTTTGCTGGACAAGCTGCTACCTCGCTTAAAAGAAACCGGTCACCGTATTTTAATCTTTTCGCAGTTCAAGATGATGTTGGACATCATTCAGGATTATTTGGCGCTGCGTCAATACAATTGTGAGCGCATTGACGGCAATATAACTGGCAACGAGCGGCAGACAGCGATTGACCGCTTTTGTCGAGAAGACAGTAACGCATTTATTATGTTGTTGAGCACTCGTGCAGGTGGCGTTGGTATCAACTTGACAGCAGCAGATACTGTGATCATATATGACAGTGATTGGAACCCGCAAAATGATCTTCAGGCGCAAGCACGTTGTCATCGCATTGGTCAGAAGAAAAGTGTAAAGATCTATCGCTTACTGACATCTAAAACGTACGAGTTGCACATGTTTCACAAAGCATCCCTAAAGCTGGGGCTTGATCAAGCAGTACTGGGAGGAATAAAAAATGATGACCCTGTTGCAAAGCTAAAAGGCGTCGCGAAAATAAGCAAGACAAATGACCGTATGTCGAAAGAGGAAATTGAAAGTTTGCTTAAGCACGGTGCGTATGAGATGTTTAAAGAGCATGAAAGTGAAGCAGAGGAAGCAAGTAAAAAATTTGGAGAGGAAAGTATTGATCAGATTCTTAGCCGGAGTACCACCATCGTTCACGACCCGACTCGAGATGATGACGAAAATAATAAGAGAAGCATAATGTCCTCCTTCTCTAAGGCGACTTTTGTGAGCTCGGCCAACCCGGAGGAGGAAGTTGACGTTGATGACCCTAACTTTTGGACCAAAGTGGTTGGGTTAAAAGGCGCCGAGGAACAGATAAAAGAGGAACCGTCACCCCTGCAAAAGCGACGCTGTCGCCGAAAGGTGAAATCCTACTTGATTGATGAAAACAAGACATATATGATGGACGATAGTGGAGATGAGACAAATTTGTCACGCAAAGCGTTGTTTCGGGAGTTTGGCGTTCAACAGGACGAAGAATTTGTGATTTCAGATGACGACGAGGATGAAGATGACAATGACTTTGACGACGGCGATGGTTTAACAAGCGACGTAGCTGTGGCTAAGGACGATTTGTTAGGGGCCACTGCAAATGGAAAAAGAAAACGCTATAAGGCGCCAGTGTTACCAATCTTTTCACACATTCAGCGAATTGTAGAGCTTCTCGAAATTTTTGGATATGGGCGATGGGATGACATGAAGCGTTGTGCTCCAATCTTACAAGCGTACCCGGATGAAGAGCTGAGTAAATTTGTTCAGGACTACATCTTTAGTTTGGTGCGCGCTACAACAGCGATAGCAGTCTTTCCGCGTATTGGGTTAGATCTCGAACCTAGCCGAGTGTACATTGTTTCGACCACGACTCCTCCGCCGCAAATGGGAAACGCAGCTCCAATTGAGAAATATGCCCATGAATTGATTAATCTATGCCGTCGGTACCATTTTCTTTCAGCAATTTTGAAGGATATGAAGGTTACCAATCCGCTGGCCGTCGCTGTTCCGCCACCTATGTGGATTACAGACTTTAAAAGTCGAACAACTCGTGGAAGCCGTACGAAACTACAGCAGATCGACACAATGTATAAGCTAAGCGAGTTTGTGAGCGTAACTTTGGTGCCAATGTCACCGCTCATCACTTTGATCGAGGACTTTCAAAGGGTTGGAGACGCATCCGAGGTTCATCGAATGATTGAGTCAGGCGATCTTCCAGACGCGAGCGATACAATTCCAGTAACCAAGATTGAGGAAACAGCGCGTGCAAATGAGAAATCGGCAGAAACTGTGTCAGACCCGTCATCCGTGAAGGAGTCTGGCGCTTCCTTACCAAAAGGCAATAACAATGATGACACAAGCAAAAACGAAGACGTTTCAAATCGACAGCATCCATCGTCGACCGACCAAACCCAAGAGACGGTGCCCGCTGCTGTTGTAAAGAGTGAGACAGGGGCTGAGCTGGAGTATATTAAGCGCTCTCCAGCAGAGACTGCTTCGCCAGTAGCATCTTTAGAGAGTGGCGTCTTCAAAACGGTCGATCTAGAGGCTTCTTCTGGAACTATATCTACGACGGAGGTAGCAATCTCAGAGTCTCCGGGCAAAGTACTGACCAATGTTGTCGTTTCCGCTGCTACTGAAGCTAAGAATGAAAGTATGGATCTGCCAATTTCAAGCATCAAGGTGGACAATAGGAGCGATGGTGCTTCGGGTGAAGATATCTCTCATTCTGAGGAGAAGCACAAGCCGTTTGCACAGCTCAATACGTCCACCATTGTTGCAGCATCTGCAGTGGCACCAATAGGACAGGAGGATTCAACTGCCGCAAGAGTGAGGGCTGAGCGCACACAGGCTATCCGAGTCCTCCAAGCTTTAACAACTGTGAGCTCTCCTGAGCCGATAGCACCGTGGTGGATTCCTCGTGTCGATGATGTTCTACTGATGGTGTGTGTTTATTGCGATGGATGGATGAAGGGTCGAACTTTGCCCATGAAGATGGTAAATGGGTCGACTCTGTTTGGAGACCGCGCGAAGCGGTACCCACTATCGAAGTGGCCTTCAGTGGCTATCCTTAATCGGCGCCTAAAGGTACTACTGCACGTGTGGACTGCTGTAAAAAAGGCGAAGCCCGTTGCGCTTATCTCGAATCCAGTTACTGCAGCTCCAAGCATGACTTCTGCAAAGCAGCCACAAATGCATGAGCAGCTGCAGCGACAGCTGCAGCGTCAACAAGAGCAGCAGCGTGCTCAACAAGCGCATCATTGTTCAACTGCTTCGTTTCATGGCTCACGTCATAACCAGTTTGCCAAACTTATTTTTTCATACGGAATTCCTGATGTGAGCACATGCCGAGACGATCGCGAGCGCAACGAGAAATGGCGCTATTTCTTGCAGGACGGTCACCTTGGCATTGGACACTTTCCACTGGAAGAGCTGCTAGCAGAAGCACTAGACTTGGAGCGTGTTTGTCGCCACCGACTCTACAGTGACACTGATAAAATGGGCATTGAAACCAGTCAAGAGAGCTCGATATTGGGTGGAAAACGAGGGTTCTGGCTGCTCACGACCACACAGTGCCGGCGGCTTTTGCATCGAGTGGATCTCTTTCGTCTGCTGCGCACGCAAATCCTTGTGCTACCACCAGCTCAGCTAGTTGAGTTGGTAAGTCGGGTTGTTCAAGCCCAGGCAGCATCGACTGACTATCCTTCTTGGTGGAGCTGTCCACGACACGATATTTTACTTTTGCAGGGTGTGGAGTGTTATGGTCTTGATGAACACCTTGTATCCGTGTGGAAACTGCCGCTGTTCAGCATTGCGAATCCAACAAGTGCCTTTCCTAGCTCCAGTTGGGTGGAAAACTACGTCACTGCTCTTGGTCTTGCATGTCGGAACGTGATTTTAAAGGCTCAACCGTATCACTCTGATGATGGCTACGTTGACGTCAGCAACGGTATAACGTGTTGTACGAGCGACAGATATCCTGCTCATAGTAGTGAGCCCAACCAGGAGATCGAGACTAGCCGACAAATTCAAGATATATGTAGGATGCGGCAAGAAGATCCATACTTTGTTCCAGCGATACGTTTACGGCAGCTCATTGACACTAACGCAGCTCAAGACAAGGCATCACGGCATATCAAACACCTTCAATTGAAGAAGTCGGTGTTCCAAACGGGCAAGAATACGCCACTGTCGACGCCGGCGATGCAATCAATTCTGATACATAATGAAGGTCCTCACGAATCCATGCAAGCAAAACCGATTTGGACTGCGCAGACCAAGCATGACAAGATTGAAGGAGCGACGAAGAGCTCAAAGTGTAGCAGGGACGATGGAGAGAAAGAGAATAAGAGTAAGACTCAAGACAATGACAACGACAAGCTCGTGAAGGACGTTGAATGCATTGACAAGAAGAAGAAGAAGGAGGAGAAAGTATTGCCTGGAGTTCATGCCAGTTTCAAGTATCTGGACAAAGACGGTAGCAAAAGTGATGGAAAGGTGGAAACAAAGGAATGTGCACAGCCGCAAGTATTACAAGATTACAACAAGTCCATCCGATGTTCGTCTACGAATGCCATTGGAGGAGCTTCAAAAACAAATGAGACAAGATGTACGAGAGCTGCTGCTACTGAAAAAGAAGAAAGTGGAAGAAAAGAGCAGCAAGTTGTTCCACGTCCATGGGAAATAATTGTGATTGACTCTTCGGATGATTCAGATTAGACGTTAGCTAGTGAATGAATTGCAAGTGTGTAGAGAATGGATGGAAAATACTTCCTGCTAAAGCATAAGAGACAGTATGATCATACGTAAGGAATAGGCCTATGCCAAAAAACCCACATTCGAGACAATAGCTGGATTAAATAATGTACATTTCACAATAAGTTCTTCGATTGTGTATGCAATGTAAAATGTATCAATAAGGGTAAATACAATATACAATTAATTGCCATTGTACTGTTACTATTCCATATCAGCCTATTTATTACTTTCTAGAGTATCAACATTTCTATCTTCCTCACTCTCGTTTCTAAACCCATTTCAAGCTGTCATTTATCTAAAGTTTCAAGTCCACCGTGCGGCCAGTCATTTCTTCTCTCTTGACACGTTTTTTCATTCTAGATTTCATATCTGTAGTACTTCTAATTCTCCATCTTCATCAAATAATGGCGGCTGAGCAAGCAAAAGACCGTGGGAATCGAGCTTTCTCTGCAGGTCTTTATACTGATGCGATTGCTTGTTTCTCAGAAGCCTTAGCACTCTCTCCTTCTGATCCAAATGCTCATGTTTTCTATAGTAATCGCTCAGCTGCCAAACTTCAATTGAATAAAGCAGAGGAAGCATTAAAAGATGCCGATGCGTGTATTGAACTGAAACCAGATTGGCCAAAGGGATATTCACGTCGTGGGTCGGCTTTGTATGCTCTAGGACAATATCCTGAAGCCTATCGTGCTTATAAAGATGGTCTACGTCATGATGCATCGAATCCAGGTCTTGTTGAAGGTTTACGAGCAGTAGAAATCAAGTTATCAACCCAAACAAGTGGCACGTCTTCTTCAGCTTTTACAGCGTCCAGTACAATGAATTGGAGACGTTTCTTGATTGGAAACAAGAAGAATATGTTTCAATTGTATCAGTTTCTACTACGGAGTCTTTTACTGCTTTGTTTTCTCACCTATTGGCTTCCTATTCGACAATTCTCAAGTCATTTGACACCCTATGGAAACTTTTTCAAGCTGGCACTTGTGAATCATGCAAGTTACTTGGCTTTTACATATGGAATACCAAGGTGGAGTGCGGTCTATGCCCAGCGTCTATTCATGGATCCGATAATGCAAGTTTTCTTCTTTTGTTTTGTGTTTTGGGTCTCGGGTCCATACGGTATGGCAATGATCCCAGTCTTTTTGCTCGAGATGGTGCATTTCTTTGCCTACTTGCAGTCGCTACTGCAGGTATTGGGACTTGCGGACTCGACCATGGTCACAATTGTGACGAACAAGGTACTAGTGCCACTCACTTCACTAATCATCACGGACCCAAATTTCGCGGCATTGACGACTCGTGCGAAATGGACCAAACTATACACTCGGATGCCTCAGGTAGTGGCAAATATTGACGTGGCGATTGGTTTTGCGCTGCTTTTGGAGATGCTTCTACCGTCACGCAATTTTCTCCTGCTTGTGTTGTACTGGCAGGTGCTGCGTGTTCGCTACATGATTTCACCGCAACTTCAGGAAACTTTTCGCACGTTGCACGGCACAATTCTCACGGCCGTGAACCACCCACGCTGTCCTTCTGTAATTGGCGTTGTGTACGAGAAGATTCACGCGTTTGCCGTCAAAATGGGCGACGCGGCTCAACAACAGCAAGCTTCGTCTGGTGCTGGTGGTCTGGCTTCGCGCTGCAGTATTATGTAGACGACAGGGCTACGTGAGATGGTGTGTATTAACGCCATAGCGATAGCCTGCAGGTGGTTGAAAAGGTATGACAACTAGCAAGGTGCACATGGCACTTTTGTGCTGAAGTAGTTACCTTACAGTACTCATACGTAAATGTATTAAGCAGCTTGCAATTGAATGGATGTTCATCGTTCACTGTTTGATGTCAAGATGTGTACGGCAGACGTTAGCATTGTGAAGAAGCAAAGTGCAGAATATGAAGTACACTGGCACACAGAGACCAACGATATGTGACTCCTTTTAGCATAATGGTGACTAGGACGGCAAACTCGTTCGCATACAGCTGCATGCAATGTGTCAAATGAGCATTTTGACCCTCAAATTCTGCTAAGACACTGATAGCGTAATAGCAAACGCTAACAGTGTCGTAGTGGAGCTTGCCAGATATCGCCACCACCCAAGCAGAAATTGCTTGAAGACGTTTGTGTGCATATTTCACGAGGTGGTTCAAATTAAAGTCTCACTGACGGTCACGTCTGTGAAGATGTCGCTGGTTTTGATATGCTTGCTTACAACTTGTGCACACTACAGCTTCTGTTCGTGAGGTTCATAAGAAAGTTTCATGTTCACAAGTATGTGTCAATATGCAGTAGTGTAGTAGCCAATAGCGTTGACAAAATTGCTATGACTCCACCATCTACGACTGTTGATCACGTGCCATTTCCCCTCTAGCAGCTCACGCGGCACTGACAGTGGAGAAAGATCCAACGCGAGAGCGCTTGCTAGCCGCAGGGTCTACGCAGCCACTGACCGATAGCGCGCGCATGCGCTTTGTTGGAGAAGTGATCGACGTGTCGCTCTCACTATTTGTCGTGGATGAGATCGGCGTATTGATTTCGCTAGGTTCCTTCTTGATCTCTTCTATTGTTTCCTTCTTGACACGCTCAGCAGCCTGTTCGTCCTTCTTAGTCAGCGCAGCTTTCTTGTCGCCCTTCTTTTCATTTCGATTGGCCTTGTAAAAGAAGTCGAGCAGTAAACCAACGGCGTTCGCGTCTTCAACATCGCCCTCTTTCTCATTATTGTCACCCGACTCGTACATTCGGGGCTTGAGAGACACGGGCCGAGATTTAGTACCAAACGATGTAGAACGCACGTCGAAGTCGTCCGTTGAAAGTGGCGGATCCTCTCGATTCTCTTTGATTCGCTTAATAAAAGCTGCCTCCAGTGTGACCAGCTCAAGTTGCGCTTGCATGATCTTCACCCGAGTCTCTGGTGTGGCGCTACAGGGACGAAAGACCTGCTTACCGATACACTCACCGCCCGTAAACTTCTTGGTAATGCGCATTGGTTCGCAGTTCAGCTTTTGCGAGAGATACAAACGTAGCATCGTGCCTCTCTCTAGCGGTAACAGTCCCTCCTTGAAATAGTGCGTCAATTGAGTAGCATAACGACTCTCTTCTTCTGTCCATTTACCCTTACGAAGCCCTGGTCGAGCCTTACTTTTAGTGGATCGACTCGAGAGCTTTGGAGTGCGTGTGCGCTTCGGTATCATCTTCTTCGACTGCTTTGGATCTTCCACCAAATTCGACAACTGTTGCTGCTGCTCTGTTTTAATGATATAGCGATCCTTTGGGTACAGCATCGAGTGCTGCGTCTGTGGTTCGTGTTCTGGTTCATTCATGTTGAAAATAGACGAAGTCGTGGACGAGATAGACGCTGTCATGCTTGCTCCGTTGTGGTTAAAGCTCTTGCCGTTAGGAATGATGAAACGAAGTGGTGCAAGCGTTGGTGCTTGTGAAACGGCAGTAGTCCCGACTGAGCGCTGGAAGATAGTCGACTGTGGCCGCATGGTTGTAAATGCTGGTACAGGTAGTCCTGAGGAGACGAGTGGCACTGGAAGAGTAGTAATACTACAACTGGTAGTACTACTGACGACAGTACTATTACTACTGCTATTACTATTATTATTATTACTACTACTATTACTACAACACTTGTTGTTGTTGGCAACTGGTGGTAGAAGATGACGCTTGATGAATCAAGGAATGCATGTCCATACTGTATCTCGTCAGTCAGTCAGTCAGTCGTCTACTACTACGATAGATATAATCTGTTTTATAGTTATACTCGTTTGAACTAAATTGGTCCAAATTGTAAAGTGTGTATTTCCAATCAAGCCATAACCGGCTGGAAGAACGTATCTCTCCCTCCCCTTATCCTCCATAACATCAACAAGACGCTTTTCATCCAATCGTAGTGAACCGTCTCGTCAACTGAGGCATTAAAGTGAAAGATCGACACAAAGAATCGGTTGAGTCCAAGTAAACAGTCTCGTCTCTATCTCCTTGTATCTTCAACAAGTAAGATACGATCAACAAGCTATTGACGCTAGCAGCATTGTCAATACCATCTTAAAGCCTACACAAAATCATTTCAGACCTCTACTTCAGTGAGCGACCTAATCCTTTCGAGGAAAGATGCAGAGAGGATAGTCTCATTGCCCCGGTTTTGTTTGACATTGAAGCGACCTCACTTGAGACAGATCTTTTTACTCGTATTTTTGACCAATACGAGTTAATCTGGAGTGGTCTCCACTCGTTTCATACTACGACTTGTATCGAATTTGGTTGAGAAGGGCGGCGCGATCGGCGAATGGATGGGGATCTCGTGCCCGCCATTGTAGCGGTAACGTGTTCGATAGCCACGTGGTAGGGACACTATGGACGTTTGCAAAAGCAGTGTCTCTACTTGATATCAATCTTCAAGGTCACTGCTTTGCAATTTCTATGACATGTTTCATCTGTAGCAGATAAACTAACACTGACACGTAGGTCAGAGCGACTTCAATGAGCCGCTCTTGCGTTCGGTTCTTTTGCATTTTTTAGCTCGATGCGGTGGGCGACCATTGACGACAGCATGTGCTGCCACAGCTCGACCATTACATCTGATACATGTATACAGCGCTCTGCATATCGTCGATTCCTCACGAACCGGGTTTTCTGTGGCGCCGCACAACCAGTCGTTTCAACTTCGACGTTGGTATCGAAGTGAAACATTGAAGCTCGAACAGCTGTTTTAGGGTCTTTTTCGGACTTGGTTTCCTCCCTTCTCCCCCCCCTTTTCTACACGTCACCGTTGTGGTATTGCATAGCGAAGTGTTGAAGTCCGGACTGAAACAATTTCAACTCAGATTAGTAACCGGTTTTTGATCTATTCTATTACGTCCGATCAGTCTAATTTACAGCAAGTCGGTGGCACAACATAGATTGTATGTATCAAATGACAAACATTCCTTCTTGAATATATAAAGCGATGACTGGAAAGTGATGAGCGTGTGTTTGTCAGTCCAAAATTGGTGCAGTATAAAGCGCCGTGTTTATTTTGTAACGGACTACTAGGAGAGTAGAGATAGCGAGATGATGATATTTAATTGAATCTACTAGACGTCTCAATTAACGCCTTCAATCCGTGGTAGATTAATCACTGGTACGCGCGAAGAAACTCGCTGTTGTAGCTGCTGCTGTTGCTGCGGCACATAGGGCAAGTATCGATGTTGTCGTAGTAAATTCCTTTTACAATTTTGCATCGCTCGACGACTGCATTGCGCACACGAGCAAACGACCTCACCGGTTGATGGATTACCTAACCAAAAGACTAAGTCTGTCCATGGAATCTCGTCAGTACACGGCTCACGCAACGGTTCCACACCCTTGGACCAACAGTTCCTAGCTATTGTCGATGGCGCTCGACCAAATCTAGAGATGCAACTTCCTTTGGTTGCATTGTTTCGATTGTGCGTTAAGAAACCTGCCGGGTCTAGCGCCAAGAATGTTTCAGGCGTTGTGGGCTCGAAGGACGTGGTCTCGAAACGCCATAATGCTGATTCACTTGGACTTAGGCTGTTGTTAATTGATGACGTTGTCTTCGGCTGCATATGCATGGGAAGCATTTTGTTGGTCAAGATTGAGACAGTATACGCGTTTGCGTAGGTGATCCCTGTTGATTAACTAGGATAAGGCAGACCGACCGGGCTACTTTGCGACGGTGAGAATTCGAGAGTGACCCAGACAGGATCAGTTGCAGTGCACACTGAAGCGTCGCATTGCGACTTTCCACGCAATGCCGTACTCATGATTAACGTTGAACATGGTGTTTCAAGCTTTACAAAGCTCGTGAATCTCTGTCTGAAACTCCCTATGATGTGTGAACCTACAACAGCAACCGAAAGAAGAAATAAAAACAGGCTGTACGGCTGTCGATGTTGAGCGACTAAATTTGTGGACCGTCCAACATATCACCTAGCGCTACATTGTCAGATGCAGCTTGGGGCCAGATAAAGAAATAGTGGCGTTTATGAGATTGGTGACTCTGGAAGCTTATCACTAGCGCTGACATGCACTTCAGCATTTTCTCTGAATGACTTTGAAGGATTCTAGCCAAAGATGGGGTCTTTTGTGCATACCCGAGCCTAGAATCACCCTCACAATCAGGACATTTCTGTGGATTTGGAATTGGTGCTGAATGGACAGTGAATATTGCTTCGTGAAGAGGTACTGCGATTATAAGCACTAGATACTCCATGTTATGTCCACTGACGCTCCTATTTCACATCATCCGTACAAAAACTGCGCCTCGTCCTTCAGCATAATGCTGTCGCTAGAGCTACCTCGAGTACGGCATGAAGCAGAGTCCAGCTCGGACTCACTTCTTTCTTCCAGGTCCTCAAAATGCGTCGGCATAACATTGTCCTTGAATGCAGCTGTAGAGTAAGATTCCGACGTCACGCTGGGATGGTTTGTCTGAAGCACCAAGTCCGACAAGACGTGCACGCTATCACGGCGGTAGATGCTCACGGAAACGCCGTGTCGTTCTCGCATGACGGGGATCAAGAGCTGCGTAAAACCTGCTGCAATCTCGCTCGTCAAGTTTGCTAGTCGCAAAGGCTTGGCTCGACCCGTGCCACGGATTGAATTGTGCAGCCAGTCTGTGAGTGACATGATCTTAGACTTGTCAGTGCTCCAATGATCCAGCAAACACCGGATCAGCGGTGAATTTAAATCACCGGGTGGTGCAGGGTATGGTGCCGTTTCCTCCATCCAATCACTACTCTCACCGCCATCCACAATGGTCCTCATATGTTTCACTTTACCATTCGCATCCTTGTTACTAAGAGCTGCAACACATTTGTCCAATTGCTGGGTCAAATGACGAATTTTTTCCTGAGCAGACTCGTTGCATACCTCCAACGCCTTCTGTGAGGCGACTGCAGCACACCACTGTACCTTTGTATGGTGTAGCATTTCCTTCGACAGAGCATACTTTTCTCTGATGATCTGCAACTTGCGACTCAGTCGTTCGTTCGCTGTCTCTATTAACTCCCCACTCTTGCCAAACGAATTCAGTTTTGCACAGCCATTCCTACTGTCACTACTCAATTGTTTTAGCGCCTGTCCCAGCACCTCTTCTTCCGCGTTCTTCGATAGTAGACGCGGCAAGTCCATGGCCGCTCGAAGTTCGCGCAACTCGAACTCAAGCTTCATGTTAGCCTCTACGAGTACGTCATGCACTGTCATACCCGACGCATGCAAATCAGACTCCTCTGACTGCTGCGAACACGTGCAATTCGCCACAATAGGACACGACTCGGCGATCTTTTTGTATACCAGATTTATCGAACGTAGACTGTCCAACACAGCTTGCTCTTCCATCCGCTCTTCGCATAAAGCCGCATTAGTGTTTTGCAACTTTTCGTTTCGTTTCTCGAGTTGATCAATGTAGGTCACGCACTCTGGCAGCTTCGCTACTTTGAGACGCAGCGCGTCAACCTCTTTTCGTAAGCTTTTGACTTCCAGCACATGTGCTTCGTTCTCTGACGATATGGTCAAGAGACGGTGCTGTAGCTTTTCAAAGTCCGCGAGCGTAAAAACGCTCGCTTGATTCGAGTCGTACGTAGCTGCTGGGTTTACAACAGCACAATCTTGCTCTGTAGTCCTCATCTTTGCAGCTTCTACTCTTTGTCGTCTTATCTCTTCCTGCAATACTGCAACTTGATTCTCCGCCGACGTCTTGGCAGCTTCGGCCTCCTGCACTTGCTGGTTCAAAAGGTCTTGTTTCTCCAGTAAATCCGTCACCAGTGCTGACTTGGCCATGAGCTTATTGTGAAGAGTGTTGGTCTCCAATAGTAAATTCTTGCGATTTTCCGTCACGCTTACCAGTTCCTGCTCACAAGCTCTTAATTGAGATCGGAGCTTTGGCTGTTCACTCTCTAGTACCGCCACATGCTCTCGCAATGCCAAGACTTCTCCATTAAGCGCTTGATTAATCTCTAGTAATTGTATTCCAGCACGTGCAGCTTTTACGAAGCGTATCGTCTTCGTCCAATCCGATGTCAAAACACTCAGATCCTCGATCTGTGTCCGTTATGACAAATAGAAAATGCAAATACAAATGTGTATGGTCAACAATATTTGTTATTACATACATCAAAAAAGCTTTACTCTACAACAAAGTGTTATTCACGAGGCAAGAAAACAAGTACAAGGACGTACATGCATAGGAATATGATGCATCATGATTATCATCATCGTTATCATTGGTTAAACGAGAAGACAAAGCTTGCTCTAGACTATTCATGTGTAACAAGTGAGCTGCTTAGTGCTAAAGACGTTATGGGGTGGAAGAGCGGGAAAAACCTGTGCAATCGAATGATTTGATATTAGGAAAACCCATACTATTTGCTGTATTATTGTATTATTGACACTATATCTAGTGTCAGAAAAAACGTACATATGACTTTTACTGAATTAGACAGTTACTCTGTGTCCCGTTTCTGTGCAATCGGTAAAGACGTAATCTGAGGCTAAAACTAGTCCGTCTCTAAATGTTTCGTCCAGTTATGAAACTTTGATCCTTCATGACCTGAAGTAGTTAGTAATAGCATAGAAACCACGAACATGGTCGTGTTACTTAAGAAGGAGCTACGGCACCACATTAGATCAATATTAAAGACCTTGTCCGATACTGAAGTAATCGATCAAAGCCGATTGCTGACAGAGAAAGTATGTGCATTGCCAGAGTTCGTGCGTGCTCGTGGGATCAGCGTCTATCTGGAGATGCCCAAGGAAGCGGCCACGTTGAAACTGCTCGAGGCCGCATTTGCAGCTGACAAAAAGTTTTTGTACCCAAGATAATGGGTCAGTCGGCAGAAGATCTGAAGATGTTGCAGACGCATTCAATTGAGGAGATTCAAAGCTTCCCTAAGGTCAGTGATCTATTGAAACATTGCGTGGTACTAAGAGACTATTGAGTGATCTGATCGGCTACAATTGGGAACTACAAACTGTATAGGACAAATGGCAGATACCGAATCCTTCTTTGCATACGGACAGTGGCGTGCTGCGTGATGACGCTATACTAGGTGATGAACTAGAGCTTGTGCTGTTGCCTGGTGTAGCTTTTTGATCGTCAAGGAGGACGCCTTGGTCATGGAAAAGGATATTATGGTATTCTTGAAAACAACTACAGTGGGTGATTGATGTTGCTACTGACTGCAATGTGCTGCTATTTTGTATTGGTTGTAGACTCCTTCTTGCACCGATTGACGAAGCACTATGACAACATTGGACACGCGCGTCCTATCACCATCGTATGTTGATGATATCATGACATGGGGCTATTTGTACTAATAAACTATCCATGTTGTATATACAGGGTCTTTGTCTAGCACCTCAACTTGTGGAGAAAGTGCCATTGGCAGCACATGATCAAATGCTGGATCTGATTGTGACACCGCACGAGGTTATTCGTGTCTGTCCGCTTTAACAACAAAAATACAGATCTGCTACGTGATTGGCTGAAAACGCTGAAAGTAAAACTATGATTGGATAATGGAACGTTTTAATATAAAGTTCACATATTGGCAACAAGGTGAGATGAAGAGACGCAGTTTTTTGAGCGTATTGTGTCTGCTGTTATGCGCGTCAATTGCACATGGTCAGAATCTATATGAGGTATTAGGTGTATCATCGTCAGCTACTTTGTCTCAGATAAAGCGAGTGTACGTGAGCAGCAAGAACAAAGTGCTTTTTTGACCATTGTTATAGCTCAATTCAAAGAAAATGCTTTTTTATTGGTTTTGTTAACTGAACGAAGGTACCGTAAGATGCCACATAAGTACTATTCAGAGAAACAGACAGAAAAAATCCATGAAGCCATGAAAGAGGAATTTGTCAAGATTACAAACGGTAGAGTAATCAAATGTGTATGAGACATGATCGTTCCATGTGCCAACTGTTTTGTATTGTTATGTTTCATGTCGCAGCGTATCGCGTGTTATCCAATTCCGAACGTCGTAAAAAGTATGACGTCTATGGCACAACTGGGGACGATCAGGACTTTCAGTATGAAAGCAATTGCAGTGTGTCTGGATATTTTCGATTGATATTGACATGTTTGTGATGTAGAAACTTCCATGAGGCTGTTCAGTTTGCAAGCGATGACGTGGACGAGTCATTACTGAGCTGGATCGGTCTTGTAATTGTGCTGCCTGTTGGCATTATTTCTATCGTTGTAATGCAGCGTAACCGCACAAAACCTTTGACAAAGCGACGTGAGGTAGATACTTTTTGATGCTGTTGTATGGGGAGAAGAGCAGCAATAATGAAGCCTCATGCGTCTTGTTTCGTGTCCTAGGCCCTACAAAGTCTCTCAAAAAGTACACTCACCAAGAAAGGAGATTTAAGCTTTACTAAGACCATCAACAAGATGCGCAAACAATACATCGATGACCCATTGCGTGCGCGTAAGTGGACTGCTTGATGTGCTGTGAATATGCCGACTCATTTCTTGCATTTGATTGTATGCGCTCAGATCAAGATTAGTGCAGAAGCTGCAGCTGCGATCAATTTGGTCTAGCTCACTCCACATAAGACCTCCCGTCCGAGATCATGTGTAGCATAACAATCTGTTGATACCGGCAATGGCTGATTCCTGTTTGTTGGTTACAAGTCAATTTCACATGGCTGTGATTAACACTTGCTTGCAAATTCACAGCGTAATTGATCGCTAGACAAGGTGACAAATTTTTTAATACAAATCTTCTAGCAGACAGATCAGTCAAACACATCCATTTATTGATCCCAACCACATTCCTGTTCTAGCTTTTTGTGATCTTTACAGTCTCAACCTCTGAGCTTGCTGCTTCCCAATCAAGCTTCTTGGTTCGTTCGTTGTAACTGCTATACCCGGGGTTGAATTCATAACATGGACATCTGTTAAACTTGCAGTCCAACAAACGGTGTCAACAGATTAGTCAACAGACTGCTTCGCCGCCTCGTCGAGGATGGAAAAGTAAACTTGCGGCTTCTTCTGAATCGTGGCGTACAGTTCTTCAGTGGTGTGAGCAAGACGCAGCATAGTATCTTCCTGCCAATGACCCGTCTGAAACTGGATGGAAATGGGCAACCCACGAGAGTCGTAACCGATTGGAACAGCTATCCCTGGCACACCAATTAGATTACCATAAAGACTGAAGCGGAAGATCTCTCCAATCTGCTGCGCATTAAATTCACCAACTGCAAATGCCTGTGCTGGGATCTCAGGAGCAGTAATACCAGTCGATGGCGTCGCAAACGCGTCCACTTTGCTCAGCACGTTGTCTTGGCAGTGCAAATGCACGAACACGCTGAGCTGCAAGATAATCCAAGGTTATAAGGCTTCGACCAAAACCCAGGAGGACTCGCGCTTCCGGAGACATCTCGTCAAAGCGCTCGTAGTACTTGTCCACATTTTGGGCAATCTCGGACACAATGGTGATGCTGTGTGCAACGTGAATGGATGTCAAATAGTGCAGTGGCGTCTCTATCAACGTAGCTCCACGAGCTTCAAGTGCTTTAAGAGTCTTAGTCACAGCCACCGCAATCTTTGGTGATGAGTGGTTCGTGTAATCGCTGAAGTAGCCGATCCGAACGCCCTTGAGCGAAACCGTTTTCTCGAAAGAATGCAAGTCCACAGGAGGCTGCGTCATGCCCCGAGGGAATGTAGTCGCATCTCCACCGCTCATGATAGCGTAGCCAATGGCAGCATCACGAACGGACCCTGCAATTAGACCGACGTGCGCAAGTGACGGGCAACCTGCTGCCGCGGAAGGTATACGCTGGAAAGTGGGCTTAATACCAACGACACCACAGAACGAAGAGGGAATTCGAATGGAGCCACCTCCATCAACACCTAGTGCCAATGGCACTAGACCAGAAGCTACTGCTGCAGCAGAACCACTCGAAGATCCGCCAGTATAGCAGTTTGGATTGTACGGATTACGTACAGTACCATAGTGCATGTTATAACCTGTGACACCTAATCCAAACTCTTGCATATTGGTAGTTCCAAGAATAATAGCTCCAGCTGCACGAAGTCTTGCTACGGGTAGATCATCAACCATCGCTGGGTCCTCTTCATATCCTAAAAATGATGTGCCAAGAAACATACGATGACCTTTGACACGAATCTCATCCTTAATAGCTACAGGAACGCCATCTAAAACCCCCAGAGGTTCACCACGTGCATAGCGATCAGCTGAAGCTTTTGCTTGTGCTAAAATCTCACCATTGTGTTTCTCCACAAATAAAGAAAGTGAAAAATTACTCTGTAGATTTTGTTCCACTGCAAGTAATAGAGCTTGAATCACTTGAATAGGTGTTACTTCACCTGAAGTATACCGTGATGTATAATCTCCAATGGTCCAGTGTTTAAATGAAACATCTTGGTTCGTATCTTGTATACTCTTCATACTAAGTGCATCAAGTAAAAACTGCTTTTTTTCTGCTTTCTTGTCATTTAGAATCATGGGCTCTTGATACGGATAATATAATGGTAAATCGGGAAGAGATGCGGCTAATCTGATTATAGCGAATCAGAGAAGAATCAGATCATGTCAATCAACAATGCGACAGAATCAGAAATAATGAAAAATCATCTCAATGACAAATGGTGCGTACTTTCGAACCTCTAGAACCTTATTTTCTTTGGCTAAATGATTGAATAAGATACGACCAAATACAGGAAGACGAGAGATGTAAGCCAAGACTTCAAGTGGCTTCCCGTAAAGCACAGGGGATGATAGATCTGCTAGATCGTATCCATTGCTATCCGCCCATTCTTGAGTTAACTCATTGAGTGGAGGGAGATTAACTCGTTCGCTTAGCATTAATAGGACACTAGATAGCAGTACGACGAGCGTAACGGTAGCTATAGTTGACACCATGATTATATTTTACGAAGCTATAACAGAGATTTTTGATGTTAGGTATTCGAAACTGCAAGTAAATTAATTTGTGAAATGTAATTTAAATATTATATTTTGTACTAAATCTTTTGTATTTACAGTAAAATAAACAACATTTGATCAACTTTCACGTGTCGCGTCACAGTGCATAAAGTTTCAGAGACCAACCAAACTCAATTGAGCAATCGCATTTCACGTCAAAAAAATGCCATCGCTCGCCCCATCACCGGCTTCTTCTTCACTCTTTAGCTCAATTGTATCTCAAGCTATGAGCGTACAGTCAGCGCGCACACGCTTACTTTCTACTATACCATCGTATGAAACAGAGGAAAACGTGGATGATGTTGAGACTGTTGATTTGCGGTCACTGTCGTCGTCTGCTGCATCGTCAACGGCCCATTCGCAGTCAACGTGTGAATCGTGTGCGCAATTGGAATCGGACTTTGCCGGAGCGGTACTGTTCGTTGAGAAGTACCAAGGACCACATCGCATCTTGACACAAGCAAATTCATCACCAAAGATGAACTTATACGCTTATTATCAGCAGGCAACACTTGGGCCTTGTCTGACTGTAACGCCACTAGCTGGACGTGACGAACTGGAGCAATCCAAGTGGGAAAAATGGCGAAATTTGGGCCAAATGACAAGACAGGAAGCCATGAAACAATACACGTTGGTACTAGATAATCTAGTAGACGATTGGCGGCATAGTGCGAATGTGTGGAGCAGCTCAATGGAATCAAGTGACAGTTCCACTCGTCGACAACCGTTTGAAGCAGATTCGGTCACGTCTAACCGACTGAAGCAGCCTCTTCATGTGTTTGAACGTTTGCCGCAGATATATCGTGAATTGAAAGAACTGCAGGACCGCGTGGACGACGAAACAAAGAAGCGTGACGAGTTGGAAACTCACTTGCTGCACCTTACACGGGACAACCGTGACATGTTCAACGAGCACACTGAGTTCATGGAGCAGACACGGAATAGCTTATTGACACTAGTCAAGAATTTAGAGAACGATGTTGCGCTGCAATCGACAGAGATGCAGCAATTGGCATTGCGGCAGCAGCAGTTGGCGACAAGAGCAAAGAACTCGGTCTTGCTGGCTGTGGAAGCCCGTGGGCGGCACTACGTTGTCATTATTAAGGCTTTGCTTAATAAACGCTTGATCCGTGCGGCGCTTGTGGTGTTTATTGGATTGCGTGCGTGGCACTTTCTAAGACATCATCGTCTCCCGCCGTTCCTGGCCCAACTTCTCATCCACTGGTTGACCAAAGTCTCATCAATGGATAATAGAAACGCACCGCCACTTTCCTATTAGTCGTCATCGTCCAGTTTGGCGCTTTGTCATGTCACAGACAAAACGTATTGTTGTATCTCCATGTCATTATTGTAGGGTTCAAGACCCGTCATTTCTGATCATATTTTCTCCATTGTCATGTCAACATTGTCATTTGTTGTAACTCTTTGCATTTCTATTCGACTTGAAAGTAGAAATTGTTACTCCTTTTCCACTCAGTTGTAATTAGAAACGTCCGCAATGTTCTGTGGAGAGTGTGGCCATCGCTGGGAACCTGATGAGATTGCTAATGCGCGTTTCTGTGCCGAGTGTGGTGCCCCTCGTGAAGATCTTTCTCTTCCTGTCTCTGTACCATCAGCTACAGCATCTGATTCTTCATTGACTTGTAGTATGCAACCAACGTCGTTGTCTTCGACCCCGATATCGACTCGTGCCACCGACTCCACTTGGTTTAATTCGACAGTAAATTACCATTCGGTGGCACCACCAACGTCATCATCGTCTACATCATCGTATCCTGTTATGACCTCAGTACCCAGTAATCACACGAACCTATTAACGTCTGCTGTCTCTACGTCGTCAATTGTAGTCAATAAGAAATGTACACAATGTGGAGAGCCATTTGGTGACTCTACTGCTTCTTTCTGTGGTGAATGTGGTGCCTATTGTCCAGCAATAGCTTCAGGTCCTACAGTATCAATTGATAAGACGGGAGATATGTTTAATAAAAGTACGACGTCGTATACTGCTTCGATTCCAGCTCCAGTAACAAATCCAGTCGGTCATGAAAGAGATACGTCTTTTTCAACTGCAAATGGACATTATAAACCACCTCAACCAGCAACTCAAACCTCAAGAGCTCCCGTCCCGATATCTATACAGGACCCCTATGCTTCACATACCGCTTCCTCTGCGTCGAATTCGTACGCTTCTACACCGCAAGCACCAGCAGGTCCAGTGGAGCCTCCAGCTGTGGTGAATTTGGAGACTGGAATTTCATCTGGAAGCAGTATCAGTACGTTGCTTGCAAATCTCTCGGTAAGCGCCAAGCCTCAAGGTGAAAGTGATGAACCCGATGGAAATGGCATTGGAGTGACCATTCAACGGGTAGTGCGGACGCGTAACATGGATTCATTGAGCACGAGATTGAGCATCTCGAATGCTGTTGAACGCAATCGCACTGACCCCCAGGAACGCAGTGAAGGCTACAACGTGACTAAGGTGAACGAGACGATCACGGTGGTCCAGAATGAACGTGCGGATCCAGTTGAGGAGCGCTATTACAACCAGCGTACGCTGCCGGACAACGGTGAGTGGCTGCAAATTTTGCGTAAGAACCGACAAGCCGGATCCAAGTTTACTGACCCGCAGTTTCCACCGGACGCTTCTTCAATCTTCCGCGATGTCACTCACCCAAAGTACCCGCATCTGCAGGATTACATCTGTAAGTGGAAACGAGTGACGGATTTCTTTAATGAGACGGCGTATGTAGAGATTACCATGCTGGACGATGAGAAAAAGCTGGTGTGTAGTATGTCCATTAAGAGCCCTGCTGAGGCTGAAAGCATTTTGAACGTTATACGTCAGAATCCAACGCGCGTTGACACGCAGTTTCTGAAGATTGCCAAAGACGCAGTCACGACGGGTGTTACCAAACGTAAGCGTGATCATTTGATACTCCTTACAAAGAATATGATTGTGCACATGAGCGAGTTTGTGCAGGACGGACTCCAGCGCTTCGACTTGATGTGGGAAAAAAGCTTGCTGGATCACTACAAGCCGCTTGCGTTTTCCAGCGTTGGAGAGGGATCGGGCTACCGCGTCGACGGATCCGGGTCCGGAGTGGTGTCTCGCGTCTCGGTTTTGGTGCCCGTGTACTTCCATGCTCAAGGGACATGCCTCTTTGACCGCTCGCGTGAGTCCAAGGCTGCTAGTCGCATCTCAGGGGTGGGCATTAGTCCTGGAGAAATGCGCGTGGGAAGACTTGCAGACGCCTACGTGTTTGGTGCACTATCGATTCTGTCGACGTCTCAGCTTGCGCTATCACAGATATTTCCTGAGCTAAGCGACGATTTAGTGCGCCCAGATCGTGTTGAGGTTGGCACTATATTCCCGAAGGAGCAGCAGTACAATGAAGAGGGCGTGTATGCTGTGCGTTTCTGGCGTAACAATCGCAGCCGCGTGGTTGTCGTTGACGATTACATTCCGTGCAGCCAGTACGGCAAGCCTGTTTTTGGTTCTTTCACAGGAAGCAACGGCAAGTTTGAGATTTGGTCGCTGCTGGTGGAGAAGGCTTTCGCGAAGTTACACGGGGGATATGAGGTGATAGTCGGCGGACAAGAAGGATACTTATTGCAGGATATCTACGGTGGTGTCCCCGCGCGATACACGTTGCAAGAAAAGTGTCCGAACGAAGAAACAGCGTGGCAAGCGCTTAGTAAAGCACTCCAGTCGGGCTCTCTCGTGGGATGCAGCAACGAAGACGTGGGATCTGAACTGCCAACGGGGCTTCGAAAAACGGATGCTTACGGTATAATGAAGCTTGTGGAGCTGGACTATCAGGGAGTACCTACTCGCTTGGTGCAGTTGCGTAACAGTTGGGGTATTGGAACCCACCAGCATCCAGAGAAATGGAAGGGTTCGTGGTCGAACGAAGACCCTAAATGGCATACGTTCTCCCGTATGCAAAAGGTAGAATGCGGGTTCCAGTTTCGCGAAGATCACACGTATTGGATGGACTTTAGCGCTTTCTACTGCTTCTTTACGACTGTCATTGAATCGCAAAACTTGTACAACTTCCGTTCCCTCCCAGACGGTATTGGCAATCCGATTTCTCCAAGCCTAAGCATTCACATAGTTTCAGGAGAGTGGAACGGTATAACGAGTGGCGGGCGCGATGCCATGCATTTGAACCCGCAAGTCCAGCTGTTTTCTCCTGCCACAAGTGGCTGCAACCTCATTATTCACCTTGAACAGCCATCGCGCCGAGTGAAGATGGAGACGGAGTACACGTCTTACATTGCACCCGTTGTCGTGAAAAACGGCGAGCGACAGCTGCGCAAAGTTGATCTATCACAAGATGTGGTAGCTACGGGTACCTTCATTTCGAGTCGCAGTTGCGTCCTCGAAATTCCGCTGATGCCAGTTGAAGGTGGGAAACCGTTTGTGATCATCCCAGCTACATACGACGGTCATTTACCATATCAGCTAAGCTTCTCAATGACGATTTTCACGTCGAAGCCGACTGCAGTGGTTCCTGTCTCAGACACGGGTTCGCTGCCTGTATGCTGCATTTGCCAAAATGCACTCTCAGGCACGTTCCGCACTTTCACGCACGAGCAAGACGGACAGAGGAAGGTAGACCGCGTGTGTCAAGGTGCATGTGTGGATGCCTACCGTGAGCGCAACACTCCTGTGTGCGTAGACTGTCACCAGCGTATTGAAGTAGTGGAAGGTCGATTTTCCGGCCGTATGTTCACTCTCCCCGATGGTTCCAGCGTGCACGCCGAATGTATTGACGCATACCAGATTCGCACGTCCGAGAAGTGCATCCATTGTGGCCATGCTATCGCAGCTATCCCTGGCCAATTTACCGGTAAATACTACCAGGTTAATGGAGGCAAGTGTCACGGTGAGTGTATGGAAGCGTACCAGCTAGCCACTGCACAACGTTGTGTGTACTGTAGTGAGCCTGTGATTAAGGTTGCTGGGAGATTTGATGGCCGCTTTTACAAGATAGAGGGTGAACGGCTTGTGCACTTTGAGTGTTGGGAGCTGTACCAGCAGTCTGTTGCGCCAAAGTGTGTGCACTGTGCACAGCCAATTTTACAGATTCCAGGGCGATTTGATGGTCGTTTTTACGAACTAGCAAGTGGCATTGGTAAGGTTCACTTTGAGTGCTGGAACGCGTACCAGACGTTAGCAAACGCCCCAAAGTAAACAACAACTTGGGATCCCAGTACGATGGCTTGAAGTGAACAGTGTGGATACCGTCAGACATCATTGTTCTACCTTTAGATTATTGATCTACCGTTAGCTGTTGGATGTGTGAGTAGTAGGTAGGTTACAGTTACTACAGCTAATTGTATTTGAATAAGTCTCACTTTCCATTCATGATAGCATCAAGTATATATCAAGGGCACTGCAGTTGATGATTATGATGAGTTTATGGTCACATGTAGCTACTGCACCTGTAGCAAAAACACTTGTATGAATGTGCTTTGCCCTTGTATCCAATACCGTCACCAATACGTAGACACTTTATCAAGTTACAAACAAACTCAAGATATTAATCTACTAACGAAACGATCAAGCAAGAGCACAAAAATCTACTTATTCTGATCGTTGTGGTCCTAGTCACTTCAGACTCTACTTCTTCGTTTTCCTGTGTCAATGCTTCATTGTCTTTTACTAACTATCGCTCGCAACATAAATCAAAGGACGAGTTGTCTCATGACGTGCCATTATAACTCCATAACCTCTTCTTCTGCGAACTTCAATCGTATTCCTACGATATTCCGAAGCGTCAGCATGCCCAATGCCTATCTCCAGCGGCCAGACTCAGGAGCACGGGCGATATCTCGCGACGAACCCTCACGGTCTCCACTGCGCGGCGGCCGATACGATCCTTCATGCTGTGACCGGCCAAAGAACCGATCGTCACCGTTGCGGTCACCGTTACGACGAGGAGGACCTTCGTTTCGACGAAGATTGCCTTCGCTATCACGATCGCCGCCACGACGGAATGAGCTCTCACCATCACGGTCACTACCGCGTCGGAATGAGCTTTCACCATCACGGTCACTACCACGGCGAAATGAGCTTTCACCATCACGGTCACTACCGCGTCGGAATGAGCTTTCACCATCACGGTCACTACCACGACGGAATGAGCTTTCACCATCACGGTCACCACCACGGCGGCTACCCCAGTGCGAACCACTATCCTCACGACCGCCACCAAAAGCCCGACGTAGACCACCTTCGTTCTCACTACGGCCGCCACCAAAAGCCCGACGTAAGACCACCTTCGTTCTCACTACGGCCGCTACTAAAGCCACGACGAAGACCACCTTCATTCTCATCGCGATCACCACCGAAGCCACGACGGGGGCCGCTGCCCTCACGCGCATCGCGGTCGCCGAGTGTTTCGCGAACCGAAGGTTTACGGCGGTCCCAGAGTCCTTCGGGTGCAGCAGTTTTCGCCCGACTGGACGAACCGCCACGGTTAACGTGTGTCCACTCGCCATCATCCTTGTCAGGATCACGGCGATCATCGTCACGACCATGGTACGTGCTACGGATACCACCGGACAAACCACGAGCTCCAGCATCGCCAAAGCGGCCTTGACTTCGTTGCTCGACACGCTTATCCTCCTCCTCACGCTCACGCTGAGCCTTCTCCTCACGTTCCTTCTCCTCTGCGATACGGCGCGCTTCAGTCTCTTCCGCTTCCTGGCGGCGAAGCTCTTCGTCCACCTCCAGCTGACGCTGGCGCTCACGCTCGGCCTTCTCTTCGCGAAGAATACGCTCCTTCTCCTCTTCTTCCTGACGCAGACGGCGTTGTTCCTCCTCGTAACGCTCTTTAGCGTGGGCGACGCGAGCGCTCAAACGCTCTAACATCGCTTTCTTCTTCTGCTCCTCGGACGCCTTCTTGTACTGCTCGACCCGACGAGCCTTGTGAGCCTTTACAAACTCAGCACTCACCGCAATAGCTGGGGCCAGGCGAGCCTTCTCCTTCAAACCATCTTCATGCTCCTCCTTAGCGCGCTTCAGCTTAGCAGCCACTTCCTGCTCATAACGCTTCAGAGCCTCAGCTTTGGCCTCTGCAACCTGGCGCTGCAATATAGGCTGTTCCTCCTCTCGTGTAGCACGCACAATGTAGTCCAAGCGGCGCGCGTTTTCGCGCAACTTTTGCTGCGCAAGTTCCTTAGCCTTGCAAGCCTTCTCTTTCGCTTCGTTCAATACCTTTTCCTTGTCAATTGTAGCCAGGTCCACGTCACTCACATCCGTGTGGCCAAGCTTGTCAAGCATCTGGCGAGTTTCCTTCAGCTTTATCTCGTCTTGAATCTTCTGCTTTTTTTCAGCATCACGACGACGAGCTTCCTGGACCAAACGCTCCCTCTCAAGCTCTGCGCGGCGCTGAGCAAACTCCTGACGCTTCTTCTCCAAAGATTGAAGCTTCTCATGTTGTAGCTTTTCCAGTTCTTCTTTTTTTTCGCTCAATGATCTCACGACGAGCCAACATGTCAGAGCGCTGCTGCTGCAAACGGGCACGACTTGCCGCAAATAGCTTGTTGTTTTGTTCGTTGCGAGCAGCAGTAATGGCCGTGGCGGTAGCAGGTACCTTGCTCATAACACGAAATAGGCGTTCACCCAGAAGAGTTAGTTGGGCAGCATTTGCTTCAAGGTCCACAGCGTCAGTGAAGCGAATACACTGCTCCACATGATCAATACGGATCTTGGTACGCGTCTGAGCGGAAGATACAGCGTCAGCCGAGGACGTCTCGGCGTTATTACTGCCGTGCTGGGTAACATTACGCCGGTACATGCTGGACAGACTGGGGGCACTTGCAGATGCAACAGTGCTCAGACTGCGAGATCGCGCAATCAAAGTTTCAATTTCTTCGAAAGAAACATCAAGCCCAACGAAAATAGAGCGCAGATGAGCGATCGTCACACTAGCGTAGACACGGGTAAGCTGAAACAGTACGCGGCGCACTACAAGGCGCTCCACTCCATCAACATAAGCCTTTGCTACTGGATCAGCACGTATCGTTGTCAGGAACGGCTCCAGCTGCTTCACAATCTGCAGAGGGTCCACCGCCTGTAGCTCAACACGCTGGAATATCTCACTAGCGGCCGTCGAAGCCTTGGACAGCAAACCAGCAGCTTCAACTTCCTCAAGCAAGTTAGCACGCGTTGGGGTTGTAGCATAGCCTAGAAGGGCTGCCATGCGCGAGTTCTTGTCACGAGCAGCAGCGGAGACCGAGCTTTCTGTGGCCATGTGAATTGATGAGAGCTCGTCGTTGCCCAATACTGGAGAAGAGGCTTCGAAGTCCAGCAGCGGGATTGACAAAGCAGCGAGCACGACACGAGTAGCCATCTCCGTTTGTTCCTCCTCTGACACCAGCACAGGCAGTTCCTGTAGTGCCTGAGCGCCAGCAGCTCCCTGCACACCAGTTACACGCAAGGTGTACCACTTGTACAATGCGTAAGCGTGAAACAAGTAGTTCTTTGACACTTGAAAGATCTGTGCGAGCTTTTCATAGTAAGTGACGAGTAAGTCTACGCGCGGGGTCTGCTCCACCAAGTTCATAATGTTGTTGATGTCATCAATCGTGCGAAAGGCCTCTGAAAATAACTCAAGGTCTGTGGCGACCTGCAATTGACGGTAACGCAATTCCAGCAGACGCTCCACACTCTCAAGCGTAAATCCGTCCCAGCTACGCATCTGACGGGTCGACTGACTTGAAGGTGCCGCTATGTGCTTCTGGAGAGCGCTTAAATGATTTCGCATGATTTCACACACACGACGAAACTCAATCTTGCGTTGATACTCGGCACAAAAGTCAAAAGCCTGCATAGCTGTGGCTTTGTACAGCGACTCAAGCTTTGAATTGCTCTTGAGAATATCCAGCACAGTACGGTACGTTTCCCACATGAAACGCAGCCAAGGGACCACCACCTCTCGGTCAGTGCGATCATTTGATCCTTCAAATGTCGTAGTAGATAACATCACGTCCTCTGGCGTCTGTGCAACATCCAAATCAACCATGGCAGCAGCCAATAAATTAAGCTCATTGCTCTCTTTCTTAGCAGCTGAGAGTTTACGTTGCGTCTCCGATACAAAGTGCTTGATAATCGTTTCAAGCGATGCTGGATTCAGCTGAATCGATAAATTTCGGTATTGATGCAATCCATCCTTAGCCACACGTCCCATTTGTAAATCCAAACAAATATCCAGATATAAAATCATCAGTTCTTCATGTGTTGGTTGCCATGTTCGATTCTTTTTAGCAATTAATGCATCATGTAAAATCTCAAGCGCTGAGTGTTTCGTTCGTTTTAATACGCCTGCATCAACATTTGGAATAGCCAAGAGCTCACGAGCACGTTTGAGTGCATTTTCAGGTTTGTGGAAAAAGTGTGACATGTGTGATCTTGTCTTGTATAGATCTTCAGATCTAGTTCAGTATCCAAAGATTGAGCGAAAGCGCTTTTGACGAATATGAGAATGGTTGGTCGTGAGCAAATTGAGGTGGTACACATCATCTTTACGACAAGACATGGCTTCAGAATCGATCAGATACTAATTGTCTCTTTTTGATGTTGTCGTAAACAATACAAATATTACAGTATCGATACAAGTATCTTTTTGATACATTTTTTATCCTTCTCTTGGTAGCAAAACTGTTCAAATTGATGCACATAGTAAGTAGTACGCACTATGTGCAAAAATGTAAAGTCGAGGTCTCTTGACGCAATCCACCACCACCAAAATGCGTCAGAACTCCGATTAATGGTCACGCCAATCTTCCCAATCCACGTTTAAGCTCCGTAACGGCACCAATTCCTTGCGAATTCTGCAGTAGCACATGACATTGATAAAAGCATTAGTACTATTTCTTTTACCTTCCCCTTTGGTCCCATCCAGCTCGTACGGGTTCCAGACGAGTTCATTCTCATTGTCAATCTTGACATCCTTTTCCTGTGGCCGATCGTTAAACTCCTTTGACAGCGACTGCAGCTCTGACGTCGAGTTAGAGTTGATACCAGCCTCTAGATTCATTGCATGCATCGCACTTTCGGCAATAGCCTCGTGATGCAAGCGAGCAATTTCCTCGTCCTTCTGACGCTGAGCTTTCTCGCGCTGCTTTCGGCGCTCCAGACTTACGAACCGTGCGTGCGACCACTACAAAAACACAAGTGCATCATTGTTCACATGTTTACAGTGCTCAGGATAGTGACATTGACAACGTACCTCTTCAGGAAACTTCTTCTGGTGATCTGTCAAATCCATGAGCCCCAAGTCAATCTCATCACATTGCTACACAGTTCACAACACGGCAAATTAGTATCAATATCAGTACAGCAACTGCTCAAGCAAAAACAAAAACACAAAGCTGCTACCTCAAGTTTCTGCTCAATCTTAGTCGCGGCCTCTTCCTGCAATCATGATTAATACAGCACCAAAGCTCGTTAGCATAGTGCAAGATACATATATCTACACCCTAACATCGTCACCTCGTAGTCAATCATGTTGGCAATAGCGTCCGACAGCTGCGCTTTCAAATCTGCTACTTTGCGGATAAATTTCTGTTCACGACAGACACACAGGCGTTGTCACTCTCCGACCGCACACTTGCTACAATGTTTACACCACTTACATTGCGCACTTTCACGAGTCTCAAACAATCTTCTGCTCTCTTCTTGATCTGCGACGATGCAGTTCCTTTATCTGCTACAAGATCCGCTGCAGTCTGGTACCTCATAAGACTGTCTTGCAACAAGAACTGGTGTCTCTCTCGGATCTGTTGGTCTAAGAATCTCACCGCCGTTTTGTGATGGTCGATTTTCTTCAGCACATTTAGCACCGGGTTGGCAGAGTGGGAGTTCAGTTTCATTGGCAGCACGTGGTGAAGTTCCGTTCCTGCTTCCTCATTGTCCAGTACCTCTTCCATGTCTATATCCTTGCCCGTCTTGTGTTCTTGTTTACGATTTGTATTGTTGTCTACAGCAGAAAGAAAATCAGGAAGTTCTTCACCAGTACAGCGCCACATTTTAAGCACTTCAATGTCCGTAAATATTTTCTTTTCATGCCACAACTCCAATAGCCTCGTGACATTCTGTCGATCCATGGGAGAATTGCACACGAGTGCTACTGCTTCCTCCAAATGCTTACTAAATAGATCAACAAACAATGGCGTTTGTTGTGTCTCTACTTCGCCAAATAGCGTCTTCTGTAGCACGTGATTGGCCACATATAAGAATGCAATGCGTTCCGACTGAAAGCCACTAGCTCGTAGTGCCTGAATCCAGCTTTCTACCATTTCTTGAGCCTGACAAGTATCATTTAATCGCTGCACATGCAACATTCCATCGCTCACAGCTTCAACACGTTCCTGTGTCTCATCCAATTCGCGTAAATCGGCAAGAAATTCGTCCATAATGAGTCGAGTATTACCAAAATGATTTGGGTCTTTCAAGACAAGACACACAAAAAAAGCTTTTATCATAGATAAAATAGACCCAAAATTGACTATTTAAAAATATAATAGTATTAAGTGTCAGAGTATATGTTTAATCCATAGAATTACGTTCCACCACATAAGACTTCTAAAAGTTAATAGTAGATCTACCGGTGCATTGTGCTGCCATTGCTATAGGTATAGTTGTCCCTACCGGTCGAGCACTTCCACAATCACGGCAAAAAGCTGTCGTAGTGTCTTTAAACGGTATCCGACACTTGACACATAATGTCATAGGCATCTGACCTGATGTGCCATCGAAGTCTACTACCGACGATCTTGAGTATGATTCTGCCAATGTACCTGACATGGCGTAAGGTGACAAATGTCCGATGGACGCACCAGATGACGAAACTCCAGATCGCACAATGGACGAACGGGAAAAGCCCTGGTGTATCAAACCCTTTGATTGTTTTGTGTACAACGGTGTCGGTGTTGGTGTTGAAGCAACCGAAGGCTTCGAGTATAGGTTAGTTGGTGTCGGTGCTGGTGAATTGCGTCTAGACTTTTTGCCGTAGAGAACAGACGGCGTTGGACCTACGGTCGCGTTTTTGGTCTTGCAGTACATCATTCCCCGTTCGGCAGGACTTGGGGCTCCATAATTGGGATTTCCAGTCTGTGAGATGGCTGAAGCTGAGCAAAGTGACCCTGATGGTCGGCCGTAAGGCGACGGTCTTGCGTACTTTGGAGACGGATAAGCATAAGGTGGAGAGTTCACGCGGCTGCTTTTGTTGCCCATAATTCAGTCACTGATTGACTAACTGTGTGTTAGCTCTTACAAACCTTTTTAGAGAATGGAATCAATCCATGGCCAACAGTAGGAAGTAGTGTCCGTCATGATAGGCAATAGCTGTGCAGCTGGGACAGCTCATGAAAGACTCAAGAACATTCAGAAATTGTATTGGCTCAAACCTTCCCCTACATCGTCGGCCATCAAAATGTAGCCAGATGGACGATACGTCTCGAAAAATTGTGAAATTTTGGCAATAAATTTCATCAAATTTGATCGTCTTCATCGTTTGAACTCAGTTTTTAATGTAGCCATGAAATTATTTGAGCTGTCCAATAACTGTGTCATATTGAAAATATTAACTCTGGATTGACCACGCACTTGGTTCAATATCACGTCATAAGAGGCCGATCCATCATATGGCTACAAGCTGCAACGAGGCAAGGAAACATAGCTATTTTACGAGGGATGTGACTCGTAGAGGAATAGTAGAAGCAGTTGCACATCCTGAGAGAAAAGAAGGAGCTACTGAATCTAGTAGCGGTGTAGAAGAGCACGGGGTACAATTGGCACGACTTGAAAGAGTCAATCACCACCACGTGCGACTCAGCTGCTATTTACTTCCTAACAACAATAAAAGGCAAGTACGACTTTCATCGATAAAAAGTCTCAACTGATAGCTTGTTCCATAGTCTACCAAACCTACCATACTTCCTCTTAGTGCTTTGGTCTGGACTTGACTTTTACTGCGGAAGGCTATTGATCAAGCAAACAGTTTGTGGCATTTGTGCCATGACTTAAGGTGATCTTACTTGCTGGCTTAGAATGACCTACATCGGCTTACATGCAGTATGATACCATTGTAAGTTGAAGCGGCCACCAAGTATTTAGTAAAAGATACAGAGATCGAGATAACGGTCTACAAAGTAGTACATGCTCATGTTCCATTCTTTGGACGATTCGACGTGGGACTGGTAGATGTCGTCATCTGTTTCAATGCTCAATGACCTCATCTGGACAATTTGATACCGCGTGATTCGATCTATAATTTGGCGGATCTCAATTACGTGTGTTGATGCTCACATCAGCTCGAGTTCTCTTGGACGCCTTTACCAAAATAGCAATCTCAAGCGTCAGCTCTACAACCTGTCACACACTCGCAACGCGTTGCTGGAGAGATACGAGCAATTCTTTCCAGCGCAAGGACAAGATGCAAACTTTTAAATTCATGCCAATGCACACCATACGTGGCCACCTGCCGTTTGAAACGACAATACCTCATTAAAAACTTCGTAGCATTCTACGTAAATCTGACATCGTAACGGAACACATGATAGAGAGCAGAGTAAACAGATCTTGAGCATATTTGCTTCTGTCGATTGCAAGGCAAGCGAGCATCTGTCTATATCATGAGTGTCAAATACCATCTTAAAACAGGCAAGCATCGTCCATTGTACCTGGATGTACTAACTGGAGAGATTGTATCTGGAACATCAATAACGACCGCCTAAAAAGAAGGAGGAGGTCATAGTGGATGATGCAACAAAGTCCAGAATATCTATAGTAGCGTATCAATCGCTTCTTCCTTTTTGGCTTATCATTATGACATTGACACATACTGAAGACCACGAGTGTTGGGTCTTCCGTTGTAAGTGGGTGTGTGCTCACAGAAAAGCGGTCAATTGTATACAAAAAGATTACATTGACTTAGAGACACAGCGCAACATGAAGTGGAGTGGCGTTTCGACAAGCACTTTTGCATTACTCCCTCGCATCATTATCTCGTTGATACTGCCGGAAACACCACAATAGTCGCTTGTCCATTAGACAACACTTGTAAATAAGTGTTGGTCCTCAGCAAAATGTACTTCAGGCGACGACAATGCTGTTTCCTCGCTGTAGTCGTTCACCAGCATTCGATAGTCAGCGCGAATAGGCACTCGTTGGTTCATTGCTGGCTGACGATAAACGTTGTCCAGGAAGAAAAACTTTGGTGTCGTCGGGTCATATAGACCTCGTGCGCTATCCAGACGCACACAGTCCATAAGTGGAAGAAACTTGGCAGCATGTGGATAAAGTGTGAGCACTTGATAGTTAAACAGCAATACGATGACAATGAGCACAATTACGAGAATTGGAGGCACGGCTGTCTTCTTGAGTGACAGAATTCCAATAAGCGTCAGCTGCGCCACTACAAGTGCAATGACGCAAAATTTGAACATGCGTGGCCAGAAAGCTCCGAGTGCAAAACACGTTGGCTTGTACACGTAAAGTACCTGTCGACGGTAGATAATTTCACTCATGAAGAAGAAAAACCAAGTAAAATAGCAAACCAAAGGCGCGATTGGCGCGAACGTTAGCGTAATTAGCAACGCCAGGAAATAATCGGCGAGAGGGTTGGCCGGGTCAAAAGGATCGGTCTGAGTGATATCACGCAAGCCAAACCACGGTGAATTGCGTTCACGCCGTGTATGCTTAGGCGCCAAAAGCGCGAATAGAGCGGAGAGTACTAGCGGAATTACACGTAATAGTTCGAGAACCAATCCAAGACCCGTTTGTACGACCACATACGAGATGAAGAATGTCGACTGTTGAGGCATACTGCGGCCAAGCATGGAAACTAATCTCTTCGGCTGGTCCAAGATCTCCTTGAGGCTATCCAAGATCGTACCAACAATCACAGTGACGAAAAAGATCTGAACAAGCTGGAAGTATCCTAGCTTCGTAAATAATGCTGCTCGAACCTCAGTTTTGGACGGGTGGCCTTCTCGTCCCGATAGAAAATTGAACACGAGCGGTGCCACAGCACTCAGCGCGACAAGAGCCAACGGGGCAATTTGCTTGAATATGTCTTGAAGAATCGGATACTCATCAAAAGCTGAGTTTAAAAAAGGTAGTGCGCGTCGAAGAGATTCAACAGTGGCCAAAGACGCCACAAATGCCGTTGGAAAAGTCCAGAATAGCACAATCGCTGTAGAGATCAAGGACGATACAAGCATACCAAAGGCGCGAGTGCGGTATTGGAGCCCAATATTGTCCCAGTTAATGTCGTCTTCATGCGGCGCTGGTACCACAGCCATACACGCAAGATCCTCCGACTGCAGGGTCTGTTGTGCAACCTGCGTCGACATGAGCGATGTAAATGAGATAAATGCGGCACGTCTCATTGCGCGAATTGGTCGCTCCTTGCGAACCTGCTCACGTTCTTCCTGACTCATTTCTCGCTCTTGTCGGCGCGCTTTCTTTTCGTCAATCTTGTCTTCATTATTGCCACCAAAGTTACTCTGCATTCGTTCCGCACGAGTGCGACGAGATAATAGTGGTGCTTTCTTTGAATCCACGTCCTGACGTGATTTTTTCGTCGTCTCCGTCCACGCTCCTTCCGTTTGCGACAAATCAAGCTCGTCATTGTCATCAAAGCTCCCTACTTCTCTTTCGTGCTCTTCGAGCTGAATAGCAAGCTGTGACTGAGCATCGTCAATACTGGCAATCTCTCGTGCAACTTTTTCATTTAGTGTTGCAAGTTGATCCTGATAATAATCGATGCTATCAACTTCGTGCCCTCTACTTACAGGTTTACATATGAGCATTCCTACCCATGACTTTCCTTCACGATGTCGCGGTCTTTTCCGTGATCTTTCACACTCCGCCAACGCGTGTTCCAGCACCCCACGTACTTGTTCTCGTTTGTCCACAAGTGTCTCCAATGTTGCACATTCCAGTGCTACGTACACATTTCGAATAGAAGAAGGAAAAATCTTGGCCATATATTTCTCCAGCGTTTGACGCGTCCGCAGATGCAGTGGTAGGTCGGTCACAAGCACTGAATACTGAGGCGCCTCCATCTTACTCAACACTTGATGGCGATATTGTACGTATAATTTGTATTCCTTGACTAACAACCGCATGGCAAACGTCGTCATTACAAATGCGACAACTGTCGGTGCCCAAAGCCTGTCACTCCGTTCAGGTAAATTACTCATTGAAATCCGTTCCAATGGGTCAATGGAATGCTGTTCAATGGATGAGGCGACACCAGCGGTCGCGTACAAGGGGAAAAGCACTAATGAGCAGAGCATCGCCAATAGTGCCAACTTTTGGCCTAGTCTTAAGAATCGAACGAATGTCAACGTGTCTAGTCCACATTTTTGCAATATTTCATCATACGATACTCGAAATACACTGAACATCCAGCGAAAAGGTCCATCACAAGGTACAGTTACGTTAGACACGTTGAAAACATTTCCCTCGTGACGTCGACTATCGTAGACACGATGAAAGCGTCTACATAGACACTCAAAGAGCAGCAGACCCGCTCCCAATATCGAAAAATAAATGGATACACTCGTTTTGATCGTACCACTTGGATTAGCGTTTGCTGCCGCTGCATCTTGCTGCGTTGTGCTCATGGTCGAGAATTATCTTGATCAAGAATCTCTTGAAATGGGATGCGGCGAGCCATTTCGTAACATTTCAATTGGGAATTTTTAGAATTGTTTTGGTATGCTTGAAATTCTTTATTCGATAAAAAACGGAAAGTTATTAGCAGAATGTACGCTTTTGGTGGTTTTAAACAGGTCGTATTGGGTGCAGTTTCTGAGCGTCTGTGCGATTTGTATGGCCTGAAGACATTGAGGTTAACGTTATTGGTCAACACTTTGCAGGTAACGCTCAGCGATACTACCGTCAGCAGGTAAAGACTTAATGCTTTTGAAAGTCAGGTCCTGCAGCATGCTACGCAGCGGCCGCTCTTTTCTACAACAATTACACCGGACCAGGCCATAGAGCTTTTTGCGACGGTCAAGGCAACGCAAAGGAGCTAAAAACCGTCATATTTACTTGTTGGCCGTCAGTAATTCGTGCGCTGGTTCGTACAATCTGCTTTTGAGCAACATTTTTTAGACACCTACATTGGGTTGATTGCCTAAGTCAAGCGGAAGAGCTAGCACAGTTTTTGCAATAACGAAGATAGATACTCTGTAGCAAAGCTACTCCACAAGGGTAGCTCCACAAGCTTGTGCCTTTTGGCTATAACAACTACGTATCAATGAGACCAGTATCAAAGATACTTATACCTATTTAAAGTAAAGGCTCTAGCAACAATTGCTATTCAAAAAAGGTTTTTAAGCTGATCTACTTGATGTTTATCTTCTAGCACTAAATAAAGAAACACCTACTCTATCTTAGTGCATGTAGTATTTATCTGGCCCTGTAGCCTCCTTATATGTAAACATAGGTATTCACAATACTTAAACTACGTATAATGACAACGTGGCTCTCTACCCCGATGTGAGCCCATTGCACCTTAGGTACCGTCACATCAACCCATTAATGTACCCAAAGTACAGCCGCACCACAGTTGTGTGGCAGGCGTGTATGTAAGGTACAAACCTTTTGTAATTTCGTTACGCCCTCGCCCACCAATCACAATTTCGAACTTATAGCAAATGTTACACTGACTTCAATGTTGGCTATGCTTCTAAAGCACCAAAGAGTCTAAAACTTTTTTGTAAAGCGTTTGAGCATATGGGTATGTAAGACTTACTCATATAGCACCGTAGCGTCAACACTAGCCTATAATGCACAAAAGTGTTTAAATCAGCTTATAAAGCACCTTCGTGTTGAGCACTTGCGTAAATACAGCCCCGGAGTATTTTACACTTGCTTATAAAGCACCTTAGCGTTTCACACTTGCTTATATGAAATCCCAATGTGATATAGTTGCTTATAAAGCGCCTTAGTATATAAAACTTGCTTATGTTAAGCCTTAAGTGTTTTACACCTGCATATATAGCTTCACAATGCTTTACATATACTCTTTGAGCGTTTCTTGAGCTCCCACATTCTTTTTGCCTTGCATTTTGTAAAGACAAAGCCTAATGCGCCATAAATATTGTTTTTGAATCAGTTAAAAGTACTTTTCACGCAAGTGAGGTACCAGCGTCTGTCTTCTCCAGAGGGTCAGAGGCGGATCCAGCCAATTGGCCTTGCTTCCACAGCACCTAGTGCTAGGAAGCGTCACAAATTTCGTGGGCTTCTATCTGGAGTTACCTCGGACTCTTACGAGTCATACGACTGCTAATAACATCACCCCTCCAATTCAACAGGTACTAGGAATGAACTCGGTGAAGATTTAGTGCCAACAGGCGCTCGATGTGAAATTGTTGATGACCAGTTTATCGGTGGTGTTCGGTGACCCGTCGATCCATGAGTAATTCCAAAGGACTGAGCGTCGCCTGAAGATGCTGGAGCGTGATGATGTTGCATCAGTGACGTCCTACCTGTCATCGATCGATGACCGTGTCGATCGACACCGTCGCTCCTTGAGAGTTACTGCTCGCATACCCCTGATCGCTTAGCGGCAATATTGAGCATTCTCAAGCCAATCTTCGATGTCAAATTAACCTCCTGGTACGCCTTCAGCGTCCATATGCACCTCCGGTGCAGTACTTCCTGCCTCCTTCGGCCGGGGATTTGGGGGCAACCTCTCGAAGTTCAGCGAGGCAGGGTTGAGGTATGGCTTAAGTAAGACCACATAGAACACAGGGTGTATTCTCATCTTCTTCGGAAGGTAGAGCGTATAGGCTAAACCCTTCTTGCCTATGACCGTTAAGGTTCCCATAAAACGTGGTCGCAATTTGATTTTGTATATTGCAGGGACGGCACAAGTAGGTAATTTCATAGTATTTAATAGAGCTAAATATCCCACTTTGAACTCGTGTTCGTTCTTTATGCCTTTGGCTTTCACGTGTTCCTTTTGAACATCCTGGCTTTCAGCCATAGCGTCTTTGACGCAACGTAATACGTCCAAAGGCGTGGACAGAAACCCTTCCACCTTCTTGCGCATCGCAACAGGGCTGATATCAGCCAAGACTTCGGCTATCTCTCCCCAACTAAGCCCTGATGTGGCAGGGGGTAGCGTTAAAGGAACGCGAGGGCTGAACAAACCATTCACATAGATAGGGTGAAGCCTGTCGAGGCATGCACCGCGTTATTCAACGCAAACTCTACCAGAGGGAGCATCGTGCTCCATTGCTTGGGTGTTTCAGCACAAACACTGCGAAGCATATCACCAATAACGCGATCCACGCGTTCTGTCTGACCATCGGTCTGTGGATGATCCTCCGTAGACATGTCCAGTCGAGTGCCGAGCACTTTAGAGACGGACGTCCAAAACTTACCCGTAAAACGGGGGTCTCTATCCGAGACGATTGCCACTGGCAATCCGTGTTGTCGAAACCCACGATCCATGAACAGCGTAGCTGCTCCTTCTCTATCAATGGAGTCTGACACTGCTGCTAAGTGAGCCATCTTGCTCAATCGGTCTACAAAGACCACAATCCCAGTGTTGCCTGCCGCATCACGCGGTAGGCCAAACACAAAGTCCATACTACTGGACTGCCACAACCCCAAAGGTACAGGCAAACTCACCAAAGGCGCAGCCATATTTTAGGCGAGGGTTTCACCCTTTGACACGTTTCAACCGTTTGCACATACGTACCAACCAAATTATACAGCTTGGGCAGCTGTAGGTCTTCTTATCACTAATATGGCTGTTCCGGGTTCAAGTAGTTTTGTAGGTGAAATTTTAATCTTAACAGGAGTTTTTGAAGATAATACAACAACAGCTGTTTTTTCTACAATAGGTTTTTTTTATTAGGTATACTTATTGCTTTTAATTTTGGTAATAAATTATCAATTGATTTAAATAAAATAAAATTTGGTTTTTGTTTTGTATTTTTTTAATTTAATTTAATTACGATTTGACATATAATATTATTTACCTAAATGAACAGCAGGTGGTCCTCGTATAGTATCTGATACTTGAGGTAGGTACCACAACGCGTGGTTGGTCATCAGACCCTGTACTATAGTACAACAGACCATCGGTCAGTGCATAACGATGCAATCGCGCTCGATTACGTGGTGAAATCATCGCCTTAAAGCTGTCAAACTTTTCTCTACCTAGCGCCTGGAGAATGGCAACACATGCCTCATCGCGTGCATGCGTCACACGGATCCGGTCCGCTACTGACAAACTCACAACAGTGAGATGACCAAGCTTATAGTCAGGTCTACGCGATAACGCGTCAGCCAAAACATTCTGTTTTCCCGGCTTATACTTCACCTCGAAGTTATACTCCGCAAAAAAGGAGAGCCAACGAGCCATTCTCTGCAAGAAATGAGGCGACTGTGTCGCGGTGCGTGACGACGCATGATATGTATGGATCACAAACGGCTTCAATCCCAACAGGTGTACCCTGAACTTAACAAGGGCATACTTCATCGCAAGTAGCTCCTTGTCATGAACTGGATAGTTCTTCTCTGTAGTTATGAGCTGGCAAGATTTGAATGCAATGACGCGTTCTCGACCCTTCTCGGCGACTTGTCAGAAGTCAATGCCAATGGAAAAGTCTGAAGCGTCACACACGACGCTAAACGGGCGATCAGGATCAGGTAGAGCCTGAATTGGCTCCTGAAGGAGACTCTCCTTAATAGCTTCAAAAGCCTCGTGGTGCGCGGTGTTCCAACACCATTCCACATTCTTTTTAAAAAGATTCAACACTGGCCCAGCCACTTCCGCATAGTTGTGTCCATACTTATGCAAGTAATTTGCCAAGCACAACCACTTGCAAAGGTCCTTTGGTTCCTCGGAACCGGCCAATCCACTATGGCTTTGACCTTGTCAGGTTCGTTCAAAATCCTTGCTTCTCAATGACGTATCCCAAAACTTCTTCCGCAGATATTGGCATATAACTCATGTATCCTCATGCAACCGAGCACAGCTCGCAGGTGTTTGATGTGATTCTCTACATGGCTTGCCGTTTTTGGCTTGACTATGGACGAACATATCGTCACAGAATGTCTGTGCATACGATCTATAGGGCCGAAACAACTGCGTCACCAGAAGATTAAACGTTGCAGGTGAGTTAGATAGCCCTTGGGCATCACTAACCACTCCCAGAGCATACTCTTCAGTACTGACCACTGTGTGATAGCTCTCATGAGAAGTTGGTAATATCCACAACTAAGTCGAGGGCACTGTACATTGTACATCCTACCATATTGTTCTGAAGAACATCCTTGCGAGGAATCGGTGTTATAGCCGGAATACTGGCTGCATTCAGCTATTTGTGAGCATACACTGTTCGCCACTTTCCATTAGGCTTTCTCCCACAAAACGTGGGCGTAGAGTGAGGAGACTTACTCTCACGCACCACTCCAGCCGCGTGCTTTGCACGAAAGAACTCGTCAATGACGTCACATTGTTCCCGTGGCTGCGGCTATTGTCACGCCACACAGTGTTTGGTTCCTGGAACCAAGTCAATTTCATGACGTACACCTCTATCCGGAGGTATAACCTCGTCGAAGGTTCTCTGGAGACAACATCTCCATATTCCTTCAACAA